GACGCAGGAGGAGACGGTAGCGGGACACGCTGAGGAGCAGTGGAGGGACGCAGAGTCATGTAGTGAGTGCCAGGGACAGGAGGAGGACGCTCACGACGGACACGACTACCAGTGCGAGCACGACGAACAGGCGACGCAGGACGAGACTCAGGCTCACGACGCTCTGTAAGGCCTCCTGTGGGACCAGTGTAAGGAGAGGGAGCAGGGAGAGGCGAGGTAGGTGGTAACTGTGACTGCGGCTGGACAGGCGGAGGACACTCTACGGAGGGAGGAGGACAAGGAGGAGGAGTCTGCCCAAGAACCTGCTGAAGGAGCGGTACGAAGTACGGTCGCGGCCGCACAGCGTCTCCGGAAGCAGAGGAGACTCCAGCGGCCGGGTCCTCAGTACCAGTAGGAGCTCCAGCGTCTGGGTCCACAGCACCAGTAGCAGCTCCACCGGCCGGGTCCTCAGCACCAGCAGTAGCTCCAACGCCCGGGTCCTCAGCAGCAGCAGCAGTGCCACCGCTCGGGTCCTCAGCTCCAGCAGCAGCTCCACCGTCCGGGTCCTCAGCACCAGCAGCAGCGCCACCGCCCGGGTCCTCAGCTCCAGTAGCAGCTCCAACGTCCGAGTCCTCAGCACCAGCAGCAGCTCCACCAGGCGGGTCCGCAGCACCAGCAGCAGCTCCCACGTCCGGGTCCTCAGCACCAGCAGCAGCGCCACCCCCAGGGTCCGTAGTACCAGGAGCACCACTCCGAAGACTGCAGCGCCGTGTGTACCACTCGCGGATCTGCTGAATGGGGGGGAGCTCCTGGGTAGGAGGGGAAGTACCGGGACGAGCTCCAGCAGTACCTCTCCGGAGGCGGCAGTACTCGAGGTACCTCTCCTGCAGCTGCTGGGAGGAGAGGGCTCCTCCAGGTGTAGCAAGCTCAGGCTCAGCACCCCCAGACTCAGCACCCCCAGGCTCAGCACCTCCAGGCTCCGCACCTCCAGGCTCCGCACCCCCAGGCTCCGCACCCCGGGCTCAACAGCTACCTCGACAGGCTCACCCGGGTCTACCTGGGACACACCTGAGGGAGCGGCACCCTGAGGGGGGAGGGGGTCTGGTACCTCAGCACCTGGAGCGAGGAAGAGAGGCGGGGGGGGGAGCGGGGCAGTGCGGTAGGGGAAGAGGCGGTAGTAGGGGACGGACTCGTCAAAAGTGACGTCCTGAGAGGCCAGGACACGACGCGAGGTGGGGTGGTAGAACTGCCAGCCAGGGGCGTCTGGGACAAAGCCAAGGAAGACACAGGGGACAGCGCGACGGGAGAGCTTGTCCGCGGACGTGTCGCGGACAAAAGCTCGGGATCCCCAGACCCGAAAACGCGACGCATCGCCAGCCTCTCCCGTCCAACGCAGTGTCGGAGAAGTCTCGGGCAAGGAGACACGGGGCCAGAGGTTGAGCTGATGCGCAGCGTATCGGACTGCAAACGGCCACAGAAAATGGGGGGCAGCCGCATGGCTCAAGGAGGTACGAGCGACCTCCATGACCAGACCAATGCGGCGCTCAGCAACCCCATTCTGCTGTGGAGAGGCCGGAAGCGTGTACGACTGCTCAATGCCCTCCTGCTGACAGAAGGCCTCCAATAGGCCAGAGGAAAACTCCCCACCTCTGTCAGAGTGCAGACGCAGGACAGGGAAGTCGGAGCGGAAACGCTCACGGAGCTGGAGACGAGATCTGCGGATCCAAGGGATCAAGACAGCAGGGACCTCACCCTTGGCGCGCAAGGGGAAGACCGTGGTGTAGCGCGAGAAGTCGTCAACAACAATCAGGAAGTACCTCTCCTGACCCTGACCACGGACGCGGGCTGGGCCCCACACGTCCATGTGGAGCGTCTGCAAGGGAGCAGTCGTCGGGGGAAAGGAGGAGGAGTGAGGAGCGGCGCGCTGCCGTCCCTCGACACAGGGAATACAGGGAGGAGCAGGCGAGTCGGGAAGGGGAGGGAGCACCCTGGGAAGACCAGCAACAAGGTCCCATTTGTGCATGGCCCGAAGGCGCTGCACAGACGGGTGACCAAGGCGGTGGTGCCAAAGGACAGTCTCATGCGCCAGAGAGCGACACGAGCAGGGGGCGGACAGCTGACCTGACGCAGACGCGGACGCAGCTACCTGAGGGGACTCAGTGGTCAGTGTGTAAAGGTCCGACCCCGGCTCCCGAGTGAAGGTAGCCAAGTGGCGACCCGTCCGAGCACACGTGCAGTGTGTCACGCGCTCGTAGGCAGGGGTGAACTGGTGAACACCCCCGTCCTGGAGCGCACTACCTGCCACCAAGTTCGTAGAGAACGAGGGGAGGTAGAGACCTGACAGCGTGCCGGACGGGACCGCCGGACAAGGAAGGACAGTGGAGGAGGTCGCAATGACCGGACCCCCAGAGGGGTCAGCAAGGGAGACAGCAACCGGCCGAGCGAGCGGCTCAAGGACAGTGCGGTCACGAAAGAAGGAGCGAGAAGCACCTGAGTCCAGTGTGAAGGTGTGCAGTGCTGCAGTCGACTCAGTACCAGGGGGCACGGACGCACGAGCACCTAGGGCTGCAGCCTCACCAGGACCTGTGGGAGCAGACGCACTAGCACCTAGAGCGGCAGCCGGACTGGCCTGAATGCCCGGGTCGGGCGGAACACGCAAGTACTGAGCACCCTCTCCACTAATAGACATCGCATACATGGCAGTGAGAATAGCATCAAAGTCTAAAGCCCAAATATCAACACCCCTCTTTTCCAGATCAGCCCAGCGCGGCAGCTCAGTGGAAAGGTGTGCGGAGGGTCAACGGGGCCGGCGGGGCCGCTAGGTAAGGCGCGGGCGGGGTCGACTGTCCGTAGTGGCACACGAGCGGCAATAGTAGGTAGCGTGGCAGCAGGAGCTGCAACGGCGCACGGGGAACGGTGGCGCACGGGCAATGGCGGCGCACGGGCAGCGGCAGCGTAGGGGCAGCGGTGCGCAAGCAGCAGCGGAAGCAGCGGCGTGCAAGCGGCTGCGGGCAGCGGGGCGTGCGCGAGCAGGCGACGGGCGGCTGCGGGCGGGCGGCCGCTGCGACGGCGGGCTGCGGGCCTGCGGGGCGTGCGCGAGCAGGCGACGGGCGGCTGCGGGGCGTGCGCGAGCAGGCGACGGGCAGTAGCGGCGCACGGCAGTGGCTGCGGCGGCGGCAGCGAGCACGGCAGCAGCAGCGATGCAAATCGCGGGCCGGCGGGGTCGCGGCGGGCTGTGCGCTAGCGACGCAAAGGCGTGCGAGCAGTGCGCGGGCAGTGCGACGGGGCCGGCAGCGGGCAGCACGCAGGCCGCGGGGGTAAAATGCGGGCTGCGTGCGCGGTGCGCGGGCCGGTAGCGGGCGGTGCGCGGGCCGTTAGGGGCTATCGCGAGGCCGACGGGGCCGCTAAGGGGCGAGCGGCGGGGTCGTTCGAGGCGCTAAGGGGCGGCGCGACGGGGCCGCGAGAGGCCTCTAGACGGGGCTCGATCGACGGGGCCAGCGGGGCCGAATAAAAATAATGAAGCGCTCGAGGGCGCTACGGGGGAGGCGCTAAGAACGCGCTCCGGTAGTAGGTAGGTAGTTAGGTAGCGAACGGTGGGCCCTTAGGAACGGTCCTAGAGAAGGACCTGCTCTGAAACCATGTCAGAATAACTGACTGGAATGACTGAACTAACAAGGAAGGCAGTACAAATAGTAAACCCTAGAGATCTGTACCCCATATGGTCTAACCCACTGTAGCCTAACAACAACCAACACATATAATGTTTGACAGTTGTGCGAGGACGGCGGTCCCGATCGTTGTCATCTCCTCGTTTGTCGCAGCCGGGTTGGGCTGCGCTTCAGCGATCAGATTCGTATAACCTCCAGATCCACCGGCCATTTTTACGCGAGAGCGTGTGCCGGACGCCACTTTTGGTTCGCCGAAGATTTTGGTGGTGGCGTTGCGAAGGATTCCCGAGTCGCTCTCATACCATGCTGCGATCAAAAACTAGATCGTAACCAGGATCACCTTGGGAAGGTTCGTGTAGAGTGTGTGTGGTAGTGGTTGTCAAACTTATGCACTATAGTCTGTGTAGGCTGTAGTGGGGTAGCTTATATGGGGTACAACATTCTAGGGTTTGGTACTTGTACTCCTCATGCTGCTCAATGCCATCATTCCTCGTTCTTATTTTTTCACATGGTTTCAGAGCAGGTTCCCTAGTGGGAACTTTTCCTAGGGCCCACCCATATCGAACATTTTTTTTTCCTGCCCGGGGCGCGAGTCGCCCCTGCCCGAGACGCGATCGGTGAGCCGCCCTTAGCGGCCCCGTCGCCACCCTTCGTGGCCCCGTCGCCACCCTTACGCGACCCCGGCGCCGCCCGTCGCGGCCCCAACGCCGCCCTTCCGCGGCCCCGTCGCCCCTCGCGGCCCCTGTCGCCGCCCTTCCGCGGCCCCGTCGCCGCCCCTTACGGCCCCGTCGCCGCCTCTTACGGCCCAGTCGCCGCCTCCCCTTCGCGGCCCCGTCGCCGCCCCTTGCGGCCCCGTCGCCGCACCCCCTTCGCGGCCCCGTCGCCGTCCCTTGCGGCCCCGTCGCCGCCCCCCCCTTCCGGCCTCGTCGCCGCCTCCTACGGCCCCGTCGCCGCTCTTTGCAGCCCCGTCGCCGCCCCTTTCGGCCCCGTCGCCGCCCCTTGCGGCCACGCCGCCGCCTGTCCGCGGCCCTGCCGCCCTTCGCGACCCCGACGCCACCCTACCGCCGAGCCGCCGAGTCGCTGAGCCGCCGAGCCGCCGAGTCGCCGAGCCGCCGAGCCGCCGTTGCCGCCGAGCCGCCGAGCTGCCGAGCCGCCAAGCCGCCGTTGCTGCCGAGCCACTGAGCCGCCGAGCAGCCGAGCCGCCGAGCCGCCGAGCCGCCGAGCCGCCGAGTCGCCGTCGTCGCCGAGACGCCGAGCCGCCATTGCCGGCAAGCATTGGTCTCTCTCGCCTGCCCGGTAAGAGCAGCGCCTCTGTCACTGCACTGCCCTTAGCCTACTGCTCACACTGCTGTCATGGCCACCCCCAGTGTTCTCACCTTTGACGCTGAGGGTCGGGCTGTTGACTTTGAGGTCTGGGTAGATGATCTGCAGCTCTTCCTACAGTGCGATAGGGCAGACGGTCTCTCCCTCTTTGACCTCACTTCTGGTGCCTCTCCTGCCCCTGCTGCTGATGCTGACCCCACTGTTCGCTCACAGTGGGCCACGCGCGATGCTGCTGCCCGCCTTGCTGTGCGCCGCCACTTGCCGACCGCTGAGCGTGCGCACTTTAGCCAGTACAAGAGTGCTAAGACCTTGTACGACGCTGTAGTTGCACGCTACTCTTCCCCTGCCACTGCTGCACTTAGCCGCCTCATCCTACCGTACCTCTTCCCTAACCTTGCCGCTTTTCCCACTGTCGCTGACCTCATTACGCACCTTCGCACTAGTGACACTCGCTACCGCGCTGCGCTTCCTGCTGAGTTCTGCGCCAAGAACCCCCCCCCCCATGTACATCACCCTCTACTACATAGTCACCCGGCTCCCTGACACCCTTCGCCCGGTTAGGGACCACTTCCTCTCTGTTTGCCCCACCACCCTCACCGTTGACCTCCTCGAGGAGCGCCTTCTAGCGGCAGAGAAGAGCATAGTCGCTGTAGGAGCCTCTCGTGGTGACCCTCGTGCCCCTGTCTTTGAGGGGTGCTCCCCCTCTCCCCTCCTGCCCTCTGTTGCCTCTGCTGCTGCGGCCGACCTCGTTGGTCTTGAGTCGGTCGCTGCGGCGTCTGCCCCTAGCGGGAGACGCCGCCCTGGCAAGGGCAAGGGGGGCAAGGGTGCTGGAGGAGCTGGCGGGGGCGGTGGAGGCGGAGGTGGAGGTGGTGGAGGGGGTGGGGGTGGCGGTGGGGGTGGTGGCGGGGGTGGGGGCGTCGGTGGCGGGACTGGAGGTGGAGGTGGAGGCGGCGGTGGCGGTGGGAGCGGAGGTGGCGGAGGTGGCGGTACTGGAGGAGGTAGCGGCGGAGGAGGTAGTGCTGGTCGGGGTGGCGCTGCGCAGAGGGGTGGCTCCGGTGGTGGTACACGCCAGCAGCAGCAGCAGCGTACTCGTGAGACCCCTTCCCCCCAGCAGCTTCGTGAGTGGTACGCTGCTCGTCAGCGGGGCGGGGGTGCTGGCCCCTGTACCTACGTTCTCCGTACCGGCGACCGCACGGGTGAGCAGTGTGGGGGGGCGCACTCCACCCAGCGCTGCTTCGGCCGTCTGACGGACGCGTGGCGCCACCAGTTCCCCGACGCTACTGAGATCCCTCGCTGGGGCGAGCTGTCTAGGGCGGGTGTTGCGATCTTTGATCTTGACTATGATGCTATTCTTGCTGCCATGTATGCTGTGACTATTAGTGATGAGGGTGACTGTTACCGGTGTTTCCCGCCTGACCCAGGCATAGAGGCTGCTGCGCTAGGTGCTTGTGAGGCTGCTGCTCCAGGTGCCAGTGCGTCTGCCGCCCCAGGTGCCGGTGAGTCTGCGCTCTCAGGTACTGCGTCGTCACCGGACACCCACACCTTCACCCTTGACTCGGGTGCTTCCCGCTCCTTCTTTCGTGACTGCACCACTCTCACGCCGCTCAGTCGGCCCGTTGCAGTCTCCCTGGCAGACCCCTCTGGGGGTCCTGTTCTTGCCCACTACTCCACTGTCCTACCGTGTCCAGCGGTCCCGTCTGGCTCCCTGTCGGGTCTTTACCTCCCCTCGTTCTCTACGAACTTGGTGGCGGGTGCTGACCTACAGGATGCAGGAGTTGACCAGTTCACCCCTGCTCGTCAGCGGGTGACCCACTGCACGTGTGCGGACACGGGCCGACACTTGGCCACGTTTGCCCGTCGGCCGGGGTCGAGCCTGTACACACTGACTACTGAGTCTCCTCCAGTCGCTGCGTCCGCTCAGGTAGCAGCGTCGGGTCAGGTGTTTGCTGCGGCGTCCAGGTCTGGTCCTGAGTCTGCTCCCTGCTCGTGTCGTCTCCTGTCGCACCGGACTCTCCTTTGGCACCACCGCCTTGGTCACCCCTCCCTGCCTCGTCTTCGAGGCATGGCTTCCCGTCTTCTTGTCTCTGGCCTCCCCCGGTCCCTCCCTCCCCTTCCTCCGGGGCCTGCCCCCACCTGCGTTCCCTGCGTCGAGGGGCGGCAGCGCGCTGCCCCTCACTCCTCCGAGTTTCCTCCGACAGAGGCTCCGCTGCAGACGCTTCACATGGACGTGTGGGGCCCAGCCCGCGTCCGTGGACAGGGTCACGAGCGTTACTTCCTGCTGGTGGTTGACGACTACTCGCGTTACACCACAGTCTTCCCCTTGCGCAGCAAGGGTGAAGTCACTGAGGTGTTGATCGCCTGGATCCGCGCAGCTCGTCTCCAGCTCCAGGAGAGTTTCGGCACGGACTTTCCTGTTCGGCGTCTGCACTCCGACAGAGGCGGAGAGTTCTCCTCTGACCTTCTGCGGGCCTTCTGTCGTGCACGAGGCATCCGCCAGACCTTCACGCTTCCGGACTCACCGCAGCAGAATGGGATTGCTGAGCGCCGCATCGGCATGATCATGGACGTCGCTCGTACGTCCATGGTCCATGCGGCTGCCCCCCATTTTTTGTGGCCGTTTGCGGTTCGGTACGCGGCGCATCAGATCAACCTTCACCCCCGGGTCTCCATGCCGGAGACCTCCCCTGCTTTGCTGTGGACGGGGAAGGCTGGCGATGCGTCTGCGTTCCGTGTCTGGGGATCTAGGGCGTTTGTCCGCGACTTGTCTGCGGACAAGCTGTCCTCTCGTGCTGTTCCCTGCGTCTTCCTTGGCGCCAGGCTGGCAGTTCTACCACCCCACCTCGCGCCGTGTTCTGTCCTCCCAGGACGTCACCTTTGACGAGTCGGTTCCCTACTACCGTCTCTTCCCCTACCGCACTGCGTCCCTCCCTCCCCCGCCGCTCTTCCTTACGCCAGGTCCCCCTCCGGTAGACCCCCTCCCCCCTCAGGGTCCTGCTCCCTCAGGTGTGTCCCAGGTAGATGCAGTCGAGCCTGTCGAGGTAGCTGTTGACTCTGGTGCTGCTGGGGGTGCTGAGCCTGGGGGTGCTGGGTCTGGGGGTGCTGCGCCTGGGGGTGCTGAGCCTGGGGGTACTGCGCCTGGGGATGCTGAGCTTGGGGGTGCTGAGCCTGGGGGTGCTGAGCCTGGGGGTGCTGAGCCTGGGGGTGCTGCGCCTGGGGGTGCTGAGCCTGGGGGTGCTGTGTCTCGGAGTGCGGAGCCTGAGGGTGCTGGGCCTGCTCGTGTGGCGTCTGGTGGTGCTGAGCCTGGCGGTTCTTCGGGTGCTTCGTCCCGGCGGGAGCTGCTCTCTCCACAGGAGCTGCGTGAGTGGTTCGCCCGGCGCTGGCGGCGTGCTGCTGGAGCTGGTGGTGCTGCGGACGCTGGAGGTTCTACTACTGCTGAGGGTGCTGGTGCCGAGGGTCCCAGAGGTGCTCGTACCGAGTGTACTGGAGCTGCTGGGCCTACGGGTGCTCCTCCTGCTGGAGCTGGTGGTGCTACTGGTGCTACTGGCGTTGGTGCTGCTGGTGCTCCTGGAGTTGGAGCTGCTGCGTCTTCGGGTGGTCCGACTGGAGCTGGGGCTACTGGGGGTGTTGGCGCTGGAGGTGCTGCTGGCGCTGGTGCTGCTGAGGGTGCTGGAGTTGGCGCTGCTGGGGCTGGAGGTCCTCCTGGTGCTGGTGCTCCCGTTGGGGGTACTGGTGCTGTTCCTGCTGGCACTGGTGGAGCTGCGCGGCCACGGCCGTACTTCGTTCCGCTCCTTGAGCAGGTTCTTGGTCTTCCGTCCTCTCTTGGTCCTGCTCCTCCCTTAGCGTGTCCGCCTCCTGTCCAGTCCGAGTCGCAGTTACCGCCGGCCTCCCCGCTTCCTTCTCCCTCTCCCTACACTGGTCCTACTGGAGGTCTTGCTGAGCGTCGTGAGCCTGCGTCTCGCCCTGCGTCGCCTGTCCGTGCTGCTCGCACTAGTGGTCGTGGTTCGCGTCAGCGTCCTCCTCCTGTCCCCGGCACGCACCGGATGTCTCTGCGTCCTTCCACTGCTCCCCTGCGTGCCCCTTTGCCTTCTCCTCCCGCGTCCTCTCTTCCTGAGCTTCCTGACCCTGAGTCGGACTCCCTTCGTGCTGCGCGTCCTACTGTCACGCGTCTCCTTGCTACTGTCGTCACTGACCCTTCCTTTGAGTCTACTGCTGCGTCTGCTCTAGTTGCTGAGCTTGTTGACTTCGCTGCTCGCTGTCGCCTAGACTACGCTGCCAGTCTCGTCGCTGAGTCTGAGTCTGTCTGTCCTCCGTCCGTCGGGGGTGAGTGTGCTCTTGGCACGGACGTCCTTGAGGACAGGCAGGAGGAGTTTCAGTGCTCGGCTGCTGCTTCACCTCATCTCGTGTCCATGCTGCTTGCCCCTGAGGGAGACCCGGATGCACTTGACATCCCGACTCCGCGCTCTTACGCAGAGGCGATAGAGGGTCCCTACTCCTCTCAGTGGCAGGCAGCCATGGACGCAGAGATGGCTTCCTGGAAGTCCACAGGCACCTACGTTGACGAGGTTCCCCCGCCTGGGGCGAACATCGTCAGTGGCATGTGGATTTTCAGGGTGAAGCGGCCGCCGGGTTCTCCGCCTGTCTTCAAGGCGCGTTACGTGGCTCGTGGCTTCAGTCAGCGGCAGGGAGTTGACTACTTTCAGACCTTCTCTCCCACCCCGAAGATGACCACTCTTTGGGTACTGCTGCACATAGCCGCTCACCGAGACTACGAGCTGCACTCTCTTGACTTCAGCACTGCTTTCTTGCAGGGCAGCCTGCACGAGGAGATCTGGCTGCGCCGCCCACCTGGCTTCACTGGGACTTTTCCTCCTGGCACCCAGTGGAGCCTCCAGCGGCCAGTCTACGGTCTCCGCCAGGCGCCTCGTGAGTGGCACGACACACTGAGGACTACACTTGCGGCTCTTGGGTTTGCTCCTTCTACTACCGACTCTTCCTTGCCGCCATTCTACATCCTCGTGTACGTCGACGACTTGGTCTTTGCTACAGCTGACACTGCTGGACTTGCCTACGTGAAGTCCGAGCTGCAGAAGAGACACACGTGCACGGACCTGGGTGAACTGCGCAGCTACCTTGGCTTGCAGATCACCCGGGACAGAGCACAGCGCACCATTACCCTGACTCAGTCACACATGGTGCAGCAGGCCCTTCAGCGCTTCGGCTTCACGTACTCCTCGCCTCAGGCCACTCCTCTGCCTACACGCCACTCGCTCTCAGCTCTGCCTTCGGATGAGTCCGTAGAGTCGAGTGGCCCGTACCCAGAGCTTGTCGGCTGCCTCATGTACCTGATGACCTGCACTCAACCTGACCTTGCATACCCTCTTAGCATTCTAGCATGCTATGTTGCTCCTGGGAGACACAGACCAGAGCACATGGCTGCAGCGAAGAGGGTGTTGCGCTACTTGTGCAGTACGTCGGGCATGGGGCTTGTGCTTGGAGGGCTGACGACCAGGCTACGCTGCGGTCGTCACAGGGTTACACCTTCAGCCTTGGCTCCGGCTCTGTTTCGTGGCGGTCTACCCGCTCGTCTTCTATTCTCAGCTCCAGTTGTGAGGCTGAGATCTACGCAGGGGCCATGGCTGCACAGGAGTTACGCTGGCTCACCTACCTGCTGACCGACCTGGGAGAGCCGCCTCGTTCTCCTCCAGTGCTGTACGTAGACAACAAGGCCATGCTGGCCTTGTGTCGGGAGCACAGACTGGAGCACAGAACGAAGCACATCGCTCTCCGCTACTTCCTTGCTCGTGAGCTGCAGCAGCGTGGTCAGCTGCGCCTTGCTTACGTGGCCTCTGAGGCCAACACTGCTGATATCTTCACTAAGGCACTCGCGCCTTGTGATCATCAGCGCTTCTGTACTCTGTTAGGTCTCGTGCCTACCTTGCCTCACTTGCTTACTTCTTGACCTTGCTTGTACTGTTACATATATATACCTGCCCTTGCTTGTTTAGCGTTATATATATGTAACCTTGCATGTGAACTGGCCTTGTGGCCTTGAACTTGTGCTCAGACTGTGTGGTGACGTTGTGATCCACTCTGAGCTTGCTTTGCCTTGCTTTGCTTGACTGGTCTTGTGACCCCTTGTTCTCCCCCACTTTGCCTATGGGGGTGTGTCAAACTTATGCACTATAGTCTGTGTAGGCTGTAGTGGGGTAGCTTATATGGGGTACAACATTCTAGGGTTTGGTACTTGTACTCCTCATGCTGCTCAATGCCATCATTCCTCGTTCTTATTTTTTCACAGTGGTGGGCCCTTGACCTCAAATCAGAGTGAATGTAAAATGATTGAGATAATTAAAACATGCAAATACAAGCATATAAATAGTAGTACAAGGGAATGTCAATCGTCCTAGCTAGCCATGTACTCTAAGGGATACATTCTTTTATTCGAATTCAAACCCAAACGTGCGGCGCGTAAGTTACGAAACTGTTCCTGCACTTTCCTTCCTCCTGCAGCTGCCGATGCCGTTTAATGCCGACGGTCCAGATCCTCTCCAACTGTTCGCGTTGCTTCGAGTCATGTCTGACTCTTCGTCTCCAGCCTCGGTACTGTGTGCTTCGCTTGCTGCTGTCAGGAGTGCATGGTGTTCTTTCTCAATTTACTATTCGTAACAGCTGTCTCAGCGGTTTCCATGGTGTTCTTGCTCCATACTATCATGTCTTTCTCAGCATATAAGCACGATGCTTTTTAATAAACGACCTCTCCCCCCCCCCCCCCCCCCCCTCTCCTTCGTGTAAATAAATTATAGCACCGTATTAAGGGGTATAATGTATTTCCATTCCATGAACTTTTCACCATAGCTTTTATGAATATCCAGAAAGTACTCCCGGTCCTATAAATTGGAATTACGGTATTTGATAGTCCTCTTCTGCAGATCATAATAACTATGAAGTACACTTCAAAGATCCTGGCGTTATCCAAGTCAAAAGTGAATGGGTTTAGGCTGGAGACTGCCAACTGGCACATCTAATGAAAGAGAACAGTGCTGCGTGTGAAATCAGTTCACTAGCTCTCACCAGTTGCAGATCCCACAGGCGAAACGCGATGTACTGTGGCAACTGTTGTCAGCCAGACAATCAACGTTTTTGGAATGACATGAGATGAGTGCCATGACGACGAGACGAGCTGTTGAACATGAGCGACTTCAGATTTTTACAGTACGAGGCGCGTGTGATGGCTGGTGTTTGAAGGCTCTAATTGTTATTCTGAAATACAGTGCACGTTTCCATTTCAACAGTGCCAGAATGCATAAATATTAACTGATAATTAAAGTGCACGCGTTTATTGGATACTTTCTAAGAGTCTGCAGTGCAATCAACCAGACACTGACCAGAAATACGTAACATCAAACAAAAGAAAGGGAAAATAGCAAGCGAAATTGCTCCGTACAGTCGTACAAGTCTGCTTGCGTCACCTCCAGCGAGCAACATTCCGCGAAGGACGGATTTGCTTTCCCTTGCTGGCGCCAGCTCGGATTGATTTCCTCGGAAGTGCCGACTGGTGGGTGCTGACATTCCACTGCAAGTCTCTGCCTTTTCTCGTCGCATTTCATTCACGAGTCGCGCTTTTGTACACGTAGGAAGAATGTGTCAGCCTCACTGAATCTGATGAAACCGCAGTGGTGGTGTGGTGGGGCTCTGTTCTTGCTCGGTTCGCAGGTTTTAAACCTCAAAAGCTCCAATTGAGCCAATTTCAGCCCATAAATTCACGCCACGTCCTACTGTACTTCTGCACTGATAAGAGAAACAGCACAGCATAACGGCGTCCAACACACAATCTCCATTTCGCCCCACCTCCTCCCTCTCCAATCCCGCTCCTCGATGTCAAATTTGTACCTCCTCTACTCGTGAGACTGACAAATCTTTCCAACCCCACATCGACTTTTTTGTGCCAGGCTTCATACAACCTGTTTATTACATCAAGCGACGATGGATCACACCGTTGGGGCTTACGGTGCGGATGGGACCGATATCAGCTCTGTCACTGTCATTGCCAGCAGTCGTGATCGCGCCAAAAATGTGTTGCCGGCAGGGTTATTGTCAGCCAACGGAGACGGTCACACGTGGCTTAAGTACGGCGAGAAGCACGTTGCGAACCACGTCATCATGTGCCTTGTGATTCTTGTAGAGCCTCATTTCCTCGCTCTTTGTCAAGAAAAATAAACAGTCATTGTTATTTGTTTTGATATTTTTCGGAGTAAGCTCATTCTTACTTCTTCTTATCTTAAGTTCTTTCTTTCTTTCTTCTTTCTTTCTTTTTCTTTCTTTCTTTCTTTCTTTCTTTCTTTCTTTCTTTCTTTCTTTCTTTCTTTCTTCTTTCTTCTCTTTCTTTCTTTCTTTCTTTCTTTCTTTCTTTCTTTCTTTCTTTCTTTCTTTCTTTCTTTCTTTCTTTCTTTCTTTCTTTCTTTCTTTCTGTCTGTCTTTCTTCACTGCAAATGTTCTCGACACTATTGTTTCTTAACCTGTTTTTTTTTCTTTTTTTTTTCGCTTTCTTTTCCTCTAACGTGTTTTCAATACGATGCTTGCTCTCATAACGCAGGTCTTACTACAAGTGCATCTGGTCCAAGAGCCCAGAAGCATGCCCAGCCAGAAAAACCGTCGACTTTGACCCTACGCAGCGTTCCAAGCGCCCTAATATCTCTGCCACTGCCTTCAGCGGGTCCTGTCGCGACTCCAGCGCAGTGCGCAACAATCTGGTGGCAGCCGCCGCAAATCTACCAGCGGATGTCGCCAGCAGCGGCTCAGCATGTCACGAGCCTGTGGCAGTGGTGACGGTGTACCGCCATGGACACAACCACCAGAAGCGCGGGCCTCCCCCGCGCGGACACAAGCGCCGGCGGCCCCGAATCGAGAAGCAGGCGGAGAAAAGCAGAAAGCGAGTGTCGACGAGACCGCTAGCTCCAGGCTCGAGAGCATGGAAACTTACGAATACTTTCGCTGATACCCATGTGATCCCCTTTGCTCTTGGTGCAACCAACGGGGGAGATGATGCTACGCACGTTCCTCCACATGCCTCTCCACATTCCCCCCCGCCTGCTCCTCTGCATGAAAAAACCGAACAACAGGCGAGCAGCCACCAGGAGCAAGCATATGAGCCGCAGCCGGAGTGTCGAGCTTCTTACGCTGCTGTGCCAGGAGATGTTGAAGAGATTCCGGAGTGGTTGTTGGAGGCAGTCAGCAGTATCGACAATTGTGGCATCGATGACACGAGTTGGCTTTCCGATATGCTTTCGAATCTGGACAGAAGCGTCCAATGTCCAGAAGATGAATGGAATCTTACGAATCATCGAAATGAAAACGACATGCAAGCCCTGCAGGAGCTCTGCAATGAGATAGAAGAAGCCGTATCTCCTCCATGCGCCCCTCGCAACGGCGTGGGTGTGCTGTCACCGAGAGCCACTGCGTTGGACCACGCCGCATCGTCCATCAGCAGCGCTGCATTGTCAGCACCGCAGGGCGGCAAGAATGAAGACGAGATTGTTACTGAAGCGCCACAAATGTCGCCTCATCTCAGCGCTGGATCATCGACGCAACAAGATGGCAAGTTGAGAGATGTGGAAGGATTGGGCGGCACGTGCGGGCAGGCAGGGAGTGTGGTGGAGTGGGAGCAGTTTTCTCGCGAGACAGCGATGGCAGTGAATGGTGGGCAGTGTGGTCTGGATGGAGGGAGTGCAATGGAGAGGGTTGGAGCAGAAACGTTTCAAGCCGGCACGCACCACCTGCAGCGTGTGTACCACCACCACCCTGTGTTTGATGTGCTTGGGGGAGGAAATAGCATGAGCGTTTGGGATTTTATCAGCTGCCGCGACTGACCAAATTAACACAGCATAGTCATGTCATCATCCGGTAATAACATTCCTAGGGGGCGCAGCTTTGAATGGAGAGTGGCGCGGTCGTCGTTTTTCAGCCCACCTGGCATGGTGGAAGTCGCCCTTTTCAGCTGCTGCTGATGGCGGCTCACTAGGCTACTACACTCCATTGTAATGGGGAATCATGCACTACATGCGACATACTATGTACTAAAATTGCATACACGTTCCCACAGCAAGCATCTCTTCCTGCCATCGCAGTAGATTTAGCTCTGAACATCTTTTACCATCCTAGGTACTAAATCTGTATGGGGTGCAATACAGCACTATAATAGCCTGTCATTCTGTGTAACCCGGTAAAACTGCCTGCGATTGCAAGCGAAGTGTGAATCATCCTCCACCACCCTGATTCTGCCTTTTCTCATAAAATAGAACCCAAATGTACCAGTTCATCTGTTCAAAGGACGCCGCGAGAATCTCCTCAGAATAATCTGCACGAGCGGAAGGCATCTCTCCGGAACTGCCCGCGAATGAGCCCCAGCGCGTTGATCGGCGTCGTGATCGACGCGTAATACGCGCCCGGGTTCGCGTCCATCTTCTCTAGCACATCCGCTACTGTCACATTCGGGTCGTTGAGCGACGGCGTGCGATGCGCGTTCATGATCCACCCCGTGGATATGATCTTCGGCCCGTCGTCGTGCCAGTTCTTGAGGCTCGGGATGCCGGGAATGCTGATGAGCGCAGGACCCAAGGCGCCCCTGGGGCCGAAGTTGATGGTGCGCGTGACCGGCATGTAGATGCTCTCCATTCTTAAATCGAACTTCACGTTTACCGCGTCCGTCGTCCTGATATCGACAGCGGCGAGGGGGCACAGGGAAAGGCGGGGAAGGAGGGAGTAGGAGGAAGGAAGGGGTTCGGAGTTTTCACGCAGTCTGAATGGCTGGTGTGTGTGAGGGGCAGTGTACGAAAGCATTTTCCTTTTTTTTCGCGTGTACTGTACAATTTCCGCAACAAAGCAGAAACCTTGTGCGAATTACACCGTGGAAATGCCGCATGATATGGCAGGACTAGTTATGGCGTCTCACCTGAACACGCGACTCTGGATGTATTCGATTCACAAGCCAGAGCAACTTGCGGCCCAGCCAGCGGACTCTCACCTAAAGACGCGGATTTCGAGAAATCCGTCGGCTTGTCGTCGGCCGAAGGTGAAGGCGGGAACTTTCTCCTTCTCGAGACTTGTTTGCATCTCGCCTGGCAGAGGCACGACATCCGGAGAAGAGCGAATGCCAGTTGGGGTTCAGTCAGGAAAGGGACGAGTCGGTCAGGAAAGGAAAGGGACGTGCGACTAAAACTGAGTGGCACTAACGGCGAGGATGCAGTTTTAGGGTCAATCGTCTAGCTCTGCAGAAATAGTATTTGCGAGGCTTATTGTAGTGATGGAAGGAGCGACGCTCAACGGTGCTGACGGCGACGGCGCATTCGCATCTTATCGCAAGCGACGGCGGTTGTTAGGATCCCCAAAAGCGCGTACTGATGAGTCTGCCGGGCGTCTTGTTGGTTTTGAGACAATTCAAAACTCAATTTTTTTCAACTGTGGGCCTTGGAATCGAAAAAGCACGTACTGATGAGTCTGCCGGGCATCTTGTTGGTGCTGGCCGCGCAGCTCACTCTCCACGCCGCCACGTCTGCCGGGATCGACGCGGCCAGTAGGAGAGCCAGTGTCACGACTAGAACCGAGCGGACTGCGGTGCGGGAAAACAGAAGTAGAAGACGAAAGGATATTGAAATACTGCGGGTGTCCATCGGCCTAGAAGCGCCGCATGCGCTCGTCGCAGGAGCTGGCGATACGAACAGGAGAGCGGATATGTTTTGTGTGAGAACATATGACGACAAGATGCGTTCTTACCGTTGTGACGAGCCATTTGATGGATCAAGACGTGGACACGAAACTGAGCTGTTCTGTGCTAAGCTATTAGGAGGACTTTCGTGGAGGATTGTGTCTAGCGCGTTTTGCAGTGGCGAGGCCGAGCAATCCTTATCGCTACAAGTAGAAAGACGATGCGAAGGTTGTTGAATACACGTACTTATTTTGCGTCATCCCACCAGTAAGTCCGCGCTTCCTGTTTCTCGGCGTCTCTTCACTGGTTATTATACAAGAGCCAGCATACAAGAGCCAGCCTCGTCCATGTCGGTAATTCTGTCGTCGACAAGTCGAAATGTTTTTGTCTCACGCGCTAATGGAAATGCGTCGGTTGGGGGCTCGAAATTTTGTAGCAGCCTTGTGCGATTCGGGGCGCAGAATGTGCTTATTTTTCATCACGTTGGCACGTCGTTGGAATACTGGCGATTGAAGCTGACGAGATTTTGTGTGCGAGCGAATATCATGATGGTCCGCAGAAGGGGGACTAACGATGTGATGTATACCAATTTGTTTTTCAGTGATTATCGCATCATCTTGTAGACAGTGAAATTCCTCAACAATGAAACTGGCTCCGAAGGATCAATCACGCCCCCATTTTCAACCCAACAAACCAGCTGCCATATTTGCATGCATCGACTGCACGTCGCGCAGCATTCCACCCTAAGAACATCTGACTCTTCGTTGCTGTCTCAGGGCGATAAGTCTAGTTTCCGCGAGGTGGGGAGCACGATGTTCGGGAAAATCCGCCCTCGATGTTGCGAGCTCCAGAATCCGCAGGAAGTTCAAACAGAGATTGACTTATATTCCCGCTAGAGGCTCCTATCTGATTCTTATGTCCGTGAGTAACATGGAAGTTGCAATTTTCGGCGCGACGGCGTGTGCTGCGGTTTTTGCGCAGTACGCTTTTATAAGATGCGGCATGCACGGCTCCTTCACTAGCGCGTCCTGGCCAGAGGCGAGCCTCCCAGACGTTCAGAATATCACGCGCGTTTCTAATCTCGTACTCTCCGTGTACGAGCGGGATCTAACGGAGCCTCGTTTCAGCGATGCCGTAGGGCCAGCGCGCATAGTGAAATCCGTTTCGTACGATGACACGAGAGGGCAGTGCCCGCCGTACACCGTTTTCCTCGATCCTGACGCCAAGGATGTATGCGTCGCGATTCGCGGCCTTCATCTCACCCACGAGGCGGATTACGCCGTCTTGCTCAACAACCGAACGGGGCAGCAGGTAAGCTCGACTCCGCCTTGGCCCAAGTACGTCCCAAAAACCATAGTGCCTGGCTAAACCGTGGGAACGCACTCTTCAGCTCCGCAGGCTCTTCTGTTAAGGTTTTACTAGCGTGGCTAGGGTTTTCGCAGAGGCTTGAAGATGGATTCGCTCACAAGGGCCTACTTCAAGCAGCGCAGTGGTTGCTTGAACGAGAGGCTGACACCTTAAAGGAGTTGCTACAAGCGAATCCGGGGTTTACCCTGACACTCAGCGGTCACTCGCTTGGCAGCGGAATAGCCTCCCTGCTCGCCATTCTCCTTGCAAGCTCGCCAGATCGAATTGGCTTTCTGCCGCCTGGGAAGCTCCACTGCTTGGCCTTCGCACCGCCAAGGGTTGTGTCTCTTAACCTGGCTGTTAAATACTCTGACGTCATCACCTCTGTTGTCCTTCAGGTAAGATACGATGTGAGCTGTTTTTTCCTCCTCCTCTCTCATGCAAGTTGCCTCTTGTGAGGAAAGAACTGTAATCCATTACGTGCAGGATGATTTTCTTCCCCGGACAGCTTTGCCTCTTCAGCTTATTTTCGGGGCTGCATTGTGGTGCGTATTCTGTAGATGTGTCTACTTATTTAAAGCAGGCACTAGCTGGTTTCGGAAGCTTACGTATTTCTGCTCTGTGCAGCTTACCATGTCTCCTAGCGTTCTCATGTATGAAGGACACGCTTGTTCCAGCCTGGGTGCTTCATCGAAATCCTGCACGCTTGTACATACCAGGGAGAGTCCTTCATATAGTTTACACCAAGTTTTGCAGGTTGGTTGCAGTAGTCAAGCTGTACTGCATTCACGGGTGATTGGAAAGCTGCACCAATACCTGCAGTTGTGCTTCCCTCCCTCCAGTTGTGAAGGAGGCAGTGCCCAGGGAAGAGAGGTTTGAGCATCTTGTGTGCTCGATGAATGCTCTTCAGGACCACTCTTTGGTCCGTCTTCGAGCCAAGGCCCAAGGTGCCACTGCGGTAAGCTATGATGTATCGTGCCTGCAAGTCAATTTCTTCGCTGTTGAGATAGTTCATGATTTTTTTTTTGGCAGAAATTATTGGAGTCGAATTGTGCCACCTTGGCACTTGTTGAGCAGATAATGGAGTGACACATCAGTTGTCGCATTTTCACCATCAACTGCTGAGATTTATGTGATGCTGTTCAATGGATTTTCATTAGATGTTTCAGAGTTTCTTTATCACAATATACCATCGTGGTACGGCTAGTTTTCCAGAAGTTACGGTACAATGTGGCACGTCCCGCCGCTCTTGACCAATCTGTGCGAGGCGGAACCGCTACTTCGAATCAGATCAAGGCTACCCCACCTCAAGCCTACTCCGACCAAACCTCTTGGCTCGATGCCTCCAGACCAGTCACTGTGCCACGTTTCACTTGCCTCAAAACCGAGGCTTGCTTCACCTCCCGCTTTAACATACCTTGATCAAACCGCGGTTTGTCAGTTCCGCTCGTCACCTGACAGCACGGGAGAGGCTCGATGAAGATGGATCAATTGGAATCGTCGATGCGGAAAACAAGCCTGAAGCTCCGGTTATGGATCAGTTGTCATTCCATCCGTGTCCTCCTTCCTTCAGACGAGGTGCATCCAGTAAAAACGGCTACTATCACACAAGTACAGAAGTTGGGAGCGAGATGGTTGTTTGCTTCTGCACAAAACACCACCATTACCAGCCGAATCGGGGAGAACCACCACAAAGGAAGTACATTCCTGGTGCTGCTTGTGGCTGACACGTGTTTTTATAGCAGCGGAGTTTCATCCGTAGTGGCAATCCGCTGTTCGTATGAAATGCTTGCGGCTTGATATTCGTTAATGCAATTGGAGTTGGTAATTTAGGGAATACAGAAACCAGCAGTCTTGGAATGACAAATTCCGATTGAACCAGAAAAAACGATTTGGCGTCTCAAGTTAGGGTGTGGATTTTCAGGGTATTAGATATTTAAAGTAAACTCCGCAAGAGGGAAGCTTGTTCAACCTTTCCGCGGTATTGTCCTGGAGCTGACATCCAGATCGAGATGATGAAATCGTACGGAGTCCCGTCAAAAGGGAGCGGACGAGCGGGTAGGCTTCGCTTGCTAGCTCTGATCGTGATATGCCTGGGGGTGGTGACGTGGCTGCACTATGACGTACCGGAGAAAGCGGAAACCAAGAGAGCCGATCCCGACACGATAGCTCGCATGTGCGAAGGCCGGTACATCTACATGTATAACCTGCCTGCGAGATTCAACAAGGTGTGTGATGATCAGTGAGCTGCATGGCTGGATCGTTCCTATTCCCCCTTTTTCTCGTTTCAAGGGGAGAACAGCATGATTACTGCGAGGTGAAGGAGAAAACACCATGTAACCACACACAAGGTGTGTCATCATAACTCCGTAATCCAACTGTGAATCGGAACCGTTTGTTGATCGAGCTGCATCCACCAGCTTCTCCTCCCCTCCAACCCCAGCGTCCTTATGAATCTGTTTTCGGTGCTTGCCACATTTCTGTGGACAACCTCGATTTTACATCTCCAGTCGCCCGATCGCCTTGCTTCAAAACAATATCTGGTATTAGCCGCTCGATCACGGCGACCTCTGTCCCTTGCTTCCCCCTTGCCGCTCGATCAAGCCGTGCTCCCTCATTTGCCGTTCGATCAACATCGTGCTCCGTCCTTTGTTTCTCCCTTCGCGTGCAGGGTGTGCTGGCCAAGTGCCGTAACCGCGACGACACGGGCGAGCGCTGCGCGGAGCTCAGCTCCATGGGCATGGGCGTGCCGTACAACTCCAAGGTGCGTCGAGTCATTTCTGAGCCAACTTATTTGGTGCGTCCGGTCACTACTCAGTCAACTTATAAGGCTCATCGAAACCGTAGGCGGATTCGAGGATTTTCTGTCATTCCCTGCAAAATGGTGTGCAGAGCTCAGCTCCATGGGCATGGGCGTGCCGTACCACTCCAGGGCGTCGACATCTACGCTTCCTTTCTCCACCCCTTAGTAGCGTTTATCTTTTTCCCGAAGGTAGGGAGTCACCTTTTGACTCGCCTGAAAGCAATGTATGCTCTCTTGCCTGATCGCTCTCTGGCCTTTATTAAAACCCCGCCTCTTCTTCCCTTTCCCCCATCCACCCCACTTCGCTTCCCAAAAAAATCTTTCCTGTGCGCCTTCATTCACCATTCCCCATTGCCCCTCCCCTATTTCCCATTTCCCCATCCCCCATGTTCCCCACCGCCTGCGCAACAACCCGGTGCTAATGGCTGTTCTCCCCCATTCCCTGTCCCCCATTCCACCCTCCCCATCCCCCATCCCCCATCCCCTCTCAGAAGCTGGAGTACGCGGGCGTGGCGCACTGGTGGCGCACGTCGCTGTACAACGCGGAGCTGCTGCTGCACCACCGCCTACGCAACCACCTCTGCCTCACGCCGCACCCCTCCAAAGCTCACCTCTTCTACGTCCCCTTCTACCCCGGTACGCACATTACGGTACCTTTGCAACGTATTTCTCTACCCCGGTGCATGCCTCTCTGGCACCTCCTCTGCGGCCCCTTGTACCCCGTGAGCGCCGCCCCATGACCTCGTCTTCTCCCCCCTTGCCTCTCGGCAGGGCTGCAGCTGAAGCACGTGCTGGGCTTCTCCAACACCACCATTGACGAGCAGCACCATGCCACCCCCCTCTCACGTTTCTCGCTTTCCCTCTCTCTTTGCCTCTATGTGTGTGTGTGTGGGGGGGGGGGGGGGTGTGTGTGTGTGTGTGTGTGTGTGTGTGCGTGTGTGTGTGTGCGTTTGCGCGCGTGTGTGTCTCCGTGTGTGTGTGTCTCTGTGTGCGTGTGTCTCTGTGTGCGTGTGTCTATGTGTGTGTGTCTCTGTGTGTGTCTCTGTGTGTGTGTCTGTGTGTGTGTCTGTGTGTGTGTCTGTGTGTGTGTGTGTGTGTGTGTGCACGCGCGTGCGCGCGCGCGTGTGTGTGTGTGTGTGTGTGTGTGTGTGTCGCTCTCTCTCACCACTTGCGTATCGGCAGGGCTGCAGCTGGAGCACGTGCAGGGCTTCTCCAACGCCACCATCGACGAGATCTGTGACGCCACTCCTCCTCACCTCTATGTGTGCATGTGTGCGCCTCCCTCTGTCCCTCTCTCTGCGTGCATCTGCGCAGGGCTGCAGCTGGAGCACGTGCTGGGATTCTCCAACACCACAATAGACGAGTACTATGACGACTTGGCGCAGTGGATTCGCCGCCAACCCGCCTTCAAGCGGTGCGTGCTTCGAGCGAGCTCATGCACACAGCACACCCATAGGCGTGCACCGCCCTGCCTGTCCCATTTTCCCTCTTTTATTCCTCGTTGTCTGTTTTCCATTTCCCGCTTCTCATCCCATCTCGTGCTCGTCTAAAACTCCTTGCACGCCTACCATCTTCACCCTCCCCCTCCACCACTCCCAGGTGCGGCGCCAAGGACCACTTCTTTGCCCTAGGCGGCACCACGTGGCTCTCCTCTGCTTTCCTCCAACCAATTCCGGCTCCCCAGTCACCCGATGCCAATGTTGGGCATCTACAACCCCCACTCCGCCACCTCCTATATCTCCTTCCCCCTCCCCCCAGGTACGGCGCCAAGGACCACTTCTTTGGGCTGGGCCGCACCACGTGGCTCTTCCGCCGCTCCCTCTCCCCCGTGCTGGATGGCGCTAACCTGGAGCAGATGCCCGAGTTCATGCCCGTGAGTCGTTCCTTGCATGCTTGTGAGAGCTACATAACTGAGACCGCCTCATCTCTCACGAGGCAAATGCACTGCTCGCTCTCCCCCGTGCTGGACGGCGCTAACCTGGAGCAGATGCCCGAGTTCATGCCCGTGAGTCGTGCCTTGCATGCTTGTGAGAGCTACATAACCGAGACCGCCTCATCTCCCACGAGGCAAATGCACTGCTCGCTCTCCCCCGTGCTGGACGGCGCTAACCTGGAGCAGATGCCCGAGTTCATGCCCGTGAGTCGTGCCTTGCATGCTTGTGAGAGCTACATAACCGAGACCGCCTCATCTCTCACGAGGCAAATGCACTGCTCGCTCTCCCCCGTGCTGGACGGCGCTAACCTGGAGCAGATGCCCGAGTTCATGCCCGTGAGTCGTGTGCTGTGTGCCGTGAGCCGTGTGTGTGCTGCATGGCGAGTGTGACGCAATCCGCACAAGCTGAAGGCATCGCTCACTTTCTCCCGTGCTGGATGGCGATAAACTGGAGCACATGCCTGTGAGTCTGCTATACGCACCATCGCTGGATGCACTTTCTCCTGTGCGATAACCTGGATGGCATCGCTGCATTCGAGGGGGCTTTAAGGGAATCTCACCCCTCTCCAGCTCCCTTCCCTCCCTCTCTTCCATCATTCAAGTCCACCTTCGTTTCCCTTCCCCCCTCCCTGCACCCCATCTCCACCTTCCCCCCACCAGATGATGAAGCTGGAGGTGGAGCGCTACGCCTGGGACGACCAGGACTCCTTCGGGCTGCCCTTCCCCACGGACTTCCACCCCATCTCCACCAAGCAGCTGCGCCGCTGGCAGGTGAGAGGCAGTGAGGGCAGAAGGGTTGCACTTTAAACCCAATACCTGAGCCGCTAACCCTAGACTCGAACCACAAACCCTTCCCCACGGACTTCCACCCCATCTCCACCAAGCAGCTGCGCTGCTGGCAGGTGAGAGAAGCAGGGATGTGAGGGAAGAGGGGCGGTAGGCAGTGAGAGTTAAAGTGGGTGGTGGTGCTACTCTGTCATTATTCTCCCCTGCCAGGCCACGTGGCGCAGCGCCAAGCTCCTGTACCAGATTCACATGCATCATCCCGCCGGACAGCCAGGCGCCCGAGGCGGCCTCCAAGGCATCATATTGTCCTTCCCTCTTGTAACCTCCCCTCCCCCTTCCTTCACCAGGCCACAGTGCGCAGTGCGAAACGTCCGATTTGCGAGCATCATTCCGCCAGAGAGCAAGGAGCCCGAGGAGGCCACCAAAACACCGTGTTTTCCTTCCCTCTCATACCCTCTTCCCTCCTCCATCACCCGCACATGCCCCTCCCCCCCTGCAGGCCACAGTGCGCAGTGCCAAGCGTCCATACCAGTTCGCGTGCATCATCCCGCCAGACAGCAAGGAGCCCGAGGCCGCCACCAAGACACGCGCAGCGGTGGTGCAGCAGTGCCAGTCGCCGTCCACCTCGTGCGCCCTGCTCAACTGCAGCCGCGGCGACTGCAGTCACGAGCAAGTGATGGGTGCGTGTTGGGGCGGGGGAGGGATGGGAGGGTTGGGGCAGGTCGTGAATGCGTGTTGGGCACTGGAGGGATGGTTGGTTGTGGGTGAGTGTGTGGGTGGGGGAGAGAGAGCAAGGAGAGCAGCAAGCCAGCACGGCACGCGGTGGTGCAGCAGTGACAGTCGCCTTCCACCTCGTGCGCCCTGCTCAACTGCAGCCGGGGGGACTGCAGCCACGAGCAGGTCAGTGAGTGCGCTCAAAAAAGACGAAGGGGGGAGACGGTGGGGAAAGGGGGGAATTATGGGAGTGGTTAAGAAAATGGGGAAAAGGGGCGTTTGTGTGTGAGTGGAAGGGACAGTGGAAAAAATCAGGTCGTGGGTTAGTGTGTGGGCGGGTGAGAGGAGGGGGAGCGGCAGGCACAGCAGGCGGTGGTGCAGTGCAGCAGTGCCAGCTGCCCTCCACCTCGTGCGCCCTGCTCAACTGCAGCCGGGGTGACTGCAGCCACGAGCAGGTGATGGGTGCGTGGGAGGAAAGGGGAGAGGGATGGGATGGGATGGGAGGTCGTGAGTGAGTGAGTGGGTGAGGGGGAAAGTAGGGAGAGCAGCCAGCAAGCACGGCAGGTGGTGGTGCAACAGTGCCAGCTGCCTGCCGTCCGTCCACCTCGTGTGCCCTGCTCAACTGCAGCCGGGGGGACTGCAGCCACGAGCAGGTCATGGGTGCGTGGGGGAGGGAGGGAGGGAATAAGGAAGGGAAGGGGGAGGGGTGGTAGTGGTGCAAGGAAAAGGGGACAAAGGGATTTTTTTTGGTGAAAGGAGGGAAAGGAGAGAAAAACAGGTGTTGGTTAGCAGCTGCTAACTAGCACTCTTTACCTCTTTCTTGCTCTGCTTGCCCCCATCACCGCCGGACCTGTACCTGTCAGCACAGTACGCAGTGCAGGATGGCAGCACATTTGGGCCAACCTACCTCATGCACTGTCACCTGTGACGCTGTCCATGCCCCATGCTTCCTCTCTCTCCACGCTCCTGCCACCCCTCTACCCTCTCCCAGACCTCTACCTCTCGGCGCAGTACGCGGTGCAGGACGGCAGCAACTTCGGGCTGCGCTACCTCATGGACTCGCTTGTGGCGGGGGCCGTGCCCGTCATGCTCTGGAACCGCACCTACGCCCTCTACCAGCACCACTTCCCCTGTACGCCCTCTACCAGCACCACTTCCCCTGTACGCCCTCTACCAGCACCACTTCCCCTGTACGCCCTCTACCAGCACCACTTCCCCTGTACGCCCTCTACCAGCACCACTTCCCCTGTACGCCCTCTACCAGCACCACTTCCCCTGTACGCCCTCTACCAGCACCACTTCCCCTGTACGCCCTCTACCAGCACCACTTCCCCTGTACGCCCTCTACCAGCACCACTTCCCCTGTACGCCCTCTACCAGCACCACTTCCCCTGTACGCCCTCTACCAGCACCACTTCCCCTGTACGCCCTCTACCAGCACCACTTCCCCTGTACGCCCTCTACCAGCACCACTTCCCCTGTACGCCCTCTACCAGCACCACTTCCCCTGTACGCCCTCTACCAGCACCACTTCCCCTGTACGCCCTCTACCAGCACCACTTCCCCTGTACGCCCTCTACCAGCACCACTTCCCCTGTACGCCCTCTACCAGCACCACTTCCCCTGTACGCCCTCTACCAGCACCACTTCCCCTGTACGCCCTCTACCAGCACCACTTCCCCTGTACGCCCTCTACCAGCACCACTTCCCTGTACGCCCTCTACCAGCACCACTTCCCCTGTACGCCCTCTACCAGCACCACTTCCCCTGTACGCCCTCTACCAGCACCACTTCCCCTGTACGCCCTCTACCAGCACCACTTCCCCTGTACGTGCTCCCTTCTATGCTCTTCCGCTGTACGCCCCCCTGTACATGCATATCGTATCTCACATAAGTCTCTGCTCCTTCTTGGTGTACCTGCCGTACTCGACATGCCTGAGTGGACCACAGTAGATTGCCGTCAGCCCTGGCCCCGACTCCCTTTCAGTGTACCTGCCGTACTGCATGTCCTGGTGGACTGCCAATCCTAGACTTGTGCCCTTCCATCATGCCCATCTTGTGCCCGTTCTCCATTCCATGCTCCCCGCCCACCAGCCAACCCCGACTCCTTCTCCGTGTATCTGCCGTACATTGACGTGCCCGAGTGGACCACAGTGGAGCACCGCCTCTCAAAGGTCGCCCCAGCCCGCTACCGAGCGCTGCAGCTGCAGGTGAGATTGCTCTGATCCACATGATCCTTTCGCTCATCTACGTGGACCCCTTACACGTCCTCCTCACCATGTGCGATGCTATCGACATAGCCATCGGCCACGAAGACTTCAGAAACATCTCATGTTTTCTCCTTTTCCCGCACTCCACCATCTCCACACCCTCAGGTGATCCACATGATCCCATCGCTCATCTATGTGGACCCCTCACACGTCCTCTCCAATGTGCGCGATGCCGTTGACATTGCCATCGACCACATGGTCGACCTCTGGCGCGACCGCAAGGCTCGGCACGAGTATCCCATACCTCCCACAGCCACCGAGCCTGCTGGCACAGGCACGGAGACTAAAGAGGAAGGGGGTGGCAAACGATTGGAAGATGCGACACTGGGCGAATTGAGTGGAGGTGGTGAGGTAATTGCTCATGAAGAGGCGAAGGAGGGCAGCGATGCCAACAATGAAGGGTGACCTGGGGACTTACACTTGTGGGTGTGAACTGTCCTCAAGTAAAGCATATGTGTTGATATTTCAGTCTCTATTTCGATGCTCAAAGTTGTTTTTAGAGCCCTTGAGGGCCCAATTAGTACTCTTAGGATGTGTTTGACTTGGGTAGAGTGATTCATGGATGTGTTCAACCCTAGTGGATGTAGTTTATGTAAATGAGGGACTTGGTACAGTAAAAGACTGGCCTTAGGGTGTTGTACAACGTCATTCCTGAGGCCAACACCTGTGGCTGTGAAGGCTTCAATTCTCTGGCGGGAAATTCCCGAGAAAAAAAGCGAGCGTGGTGGTGTTGACCTGGACATTTTCGAGGGGAATGCCGAAAGCTTTCTGGTGTCGGACTGCTTTCTGACTTCGTTCTGTGCGGGGCTCTAGTTGCAGCAGTAGCGTAATAGTGCTTGCTCGCTGGCGGCGTTTCAAATGAATTCCGCCGTGCTGCCGTCGTCGCAAGCCGTCGCACAGTCGCCCATGCACCGCCTCGGTAGCATCCTGCGGGCGGTCCGGTCCGCTCGGCCTATCGCAGCGGCCCATGGCGCGCCGTTCTTGCGAGACGGTCCCGTTTCCGTCCCCGCTACAAGCCGACTGCCTTTTTCGGGCAAAAATTCGTCAGTCGTTCCCGTTGTACATGCATTAGGAGGCAGCAACGGCACTTACCTGTCCTCGCGACGCGTAGATGTTCCAACCAGTCTACGGAGCCTTAGTGGCGGTTTTATTCCATCACCGCCTGCGACTGGGTACGCGCTAAGAGCAGGTCCAGGTGAGCTCGTTAGGGCGTTTGCGTCGAAAAGCGATGCCGCGACGGGGGGAAGGGACAACGATGGCAAAGTTGAAGCTAGTTCCGGGCGGGGGAGCAGCGGAGGAGGTGGGGACGATGCGGGGAAGGAAGTGCGCGGCGAGGGGGCCGGTGGCGGAAGCGGCGGCGCAGGAGGCGCGAGTGACGTGGACTTCATGGCGGCGGTGATTATCGACGAGGGACTGGCGGCGGAATTGGCAGCGCGCGGGCAAACGGAGAAATGGAAGGTGAGGAGGAATATTCGACCTTCGTATGAGGACCCTTGTGCGAGGACTCATATTGGAGGATTCGTGTAGGAGGCGAGTACATTCTGGGGGTCCGGCTACAGTCCTAAAAGGATAACGCCTTTACCAGCAGCCGTATGGAGGAGCAGCATTCGCACAAACCTGCTCCCTCTGCTTCCTTACTCTGCTTTCTGTCCCTCGCCTGCCCTGCCCTGCCCATTCCGTCCTTGCACCCCGACTCCCTCGCCTTACACTCCCCGCTTTCCCATCCCCACAGCGACCCCCGACTTCCCCATTTTCCCCCCCGCCCCTCCCTCCCCCCACCCCTTCCCCGCCCCCTCTTCTTTTCCCCCTTCGCCAGGCCTTGGCGGAGGAGCTGCGCCTGGATGCGGCGTCCGCGCTGGCGCTGGCGATGGAGGAGTTTGAGGAGGTGCAGAGCGGTTCCGGGGTGGCGGCTGCGGAGATGTCGGTGCTGCTGTGCACGGACGCTTATATCAGGGAGCTCAATCGCGAGTGGCGGGGTGTAGATGCGCCCACGGACGTCCTCTCTTTCCCCCAAGACCAGCCTGCCGGGCTCTCCCCTCTGGTAGGGAAAACCAACAGTAACCCTCCCACTGAGTCCTCTTTGGTTTGGTTTATTTTAGTTACCCATGCTTATAGTCCAACGCAGCTGCTTAGTTGCTCTAGCGTTTGCTTCTTGTGTCCGCTTTACGCTCCCACTCTGCTGCCTTTAGGCCTCGTTCCTCGCGCCATGTCCTTGTTCTGTTCTCACCAAGTGTTCTATGAGAACGTACTTCGTGTGACACCTTTTTCCGGTTCTTTTTTCGCCCTACCTGCGTTGCCCCATTGCACCGACGCCGGTGCTGCAGTTGCTTCTAGGCGATGTGATTATATCGGTGGAGACGGCACAGCGGCAAGCCAATGAGAGAGGGCATTCGCTCTTGGACGAGCTTCGCATTCTCATGGTAACGTACTCGTTGTAACATGCTGGTAACATGCTGGTAACATGTTGGTAACATGCTGGTGACATGCTGGTAACATGTTGGTAACATGCTGGTAACATGCTGGTAACATGTTGGTAACATGCTGGTAACATGCTGGTAACATGCTGGTAACATGCTGGTAACATGCTGGTAACATGCTGCACTGCACCTGCTGGGCTTGGATGGGGTATGATGGCTGCTCCGTCCTTTGTCTTTCTCCCCTTTCCCTGGCCTCACTCTCTCCTCACTCACTTCGATCCGTCCTTCCAAACTCTGCACGGCGCAGCTGCACGCCATGCTGCATCTGTTGGCTACGGTTCCGTAATCCCTACCCGCCCCCAAGCCCCCCCATTATTCCTCCTGAACATCCCTCCTTGCCCCCCACTCCCCCTCCCCCTCTCCCCTCCCCTCTACCCCGTCCCCTCTCCCTGTCTTCATTCCTCCCGACCCCCTTCCTCCACAGGTGCATGGCATGCTGCATCTGCTAGGGTACGACCACGAGGCGCCCAAGGGAACCCCGCAGGGCGCTGCTGACTCAGCGATGTCAGAAGCTGAGCTGGTGGCGGCGGTGCGTGAGTCAGCGGAACAGATGGCAACAGAGGAGCAGCGGATTTTGGAGGCCTTTGCGTGGCGGGGAGTGGGGTTGGTGGCAGCTTCTATTGGGGAAGAGTGGGGAGGGGCGGCAGAGGGGAAGGAGGGAAAGGGAGAGGGAGGAGAGGAGGGAGGAGAGGAGGGAAGAGGGGAGGGAGGAGGGGAGGAGGGTGAGAAGGGGGGTGTGAAGGCGAGGATGACAAGGATTGGCATGGTGCAAGGTGTGTGGGGGTGGGTTGACAGTTGTGAGGTGTGGAAGGGGTGGAGATGGGTGCAAGGGGTGGCGAGGGATGGAAACGGGTGGAGAGGAGAGGAGAGGAATGGAGAGGAGAGGAATGGAGAGGAGAGGAGTGGAGAGGAGAGGAATGGAGAGGAGAGGAATGGAGAGGAGAGGAATGGACAGAAATGGACACACGAGGAGGAAAGGAAGGCAAGGCAGTTGATGTGTGCCAGTTGTTCAAGTGCCTTGAAATTGCTATTAAACTTTTTCTCTTGGTCTCTGTGTGCTTGTTCATGGCAGGGTGGACAAGATTTGTGACAGTAACGGGGGAGGGAGAAGAAGGGGCGCTCGAGGAAGGAGGTTCGGGAAAGCACAAGGGGAAACACAAGGGAAAGCACGGGAAGGGGAAGGAGGGGAAAGGGAAGGAGAAAGGGAAGAAGGCTGAGAAGGTTCTTGATGTGGCGGCGGAGAAGGAGAGAGAGCATATGAAGGGCAGAGAGAAGGAGAAGGAGAAGCGAGAAAAGAGGCGGACCAAGAAAGCCCCTTTCCAGCTTCTCTTGTGCGATATGGATGGTATGTGCTGTGGATGGTAGCAGGGATGGTATGAGTGGTGTGGATGGTACGTGTGGCATGCATGGTATGTGCGAGGAAGCATGGTCTCACAATTGACACAGGAAGCACTGCAAGCACAAGACATCAGGCTCTTGTTGACACTTCTGCTGCTGCTGCTGCTCTTCCTGCTGCTTCTTCTCCTTATGCTCCTTCTTTTGCTTCTGTTCTACATTCTCCCATATTCCTTCTCGCATGTCCCACAGGCACGCTGCTCAACAGCGCCAGCAAGATCGCTCCCTCTACAGCGGAGGCCCTGAGAGCAGCACACGCGAGGGGCGTGCGAGTGGCCATAGCCACGGGCAAGGCGAGACCAGCTGCCATGTCTGCTCTGGGCGCTGCTGGGCTGGTGGGATCTGCTGGCATCTTCAGCGACAAGTCCCCAGGGGTGTTCCTGCAGGTGCGTGCAAGGTGCACATGTGTCATATGCTTAAGTTGATTTCGAATCAGGGTGCTGCTGGATTAGCGTACTCCTGGGGTGGCCATAGCCACGGGCAAGGCGAGGCCAGCCGCCATGTCCGCGCTGGGCGCTGCTGGGCTGGTTGGGTCTGCTGGGATCTTCAGTGACAAGTCCCCATGGGTGTTCCTGCAGGTGCGTGTAAAGTGCAGGTGTGTCATGCACATAAGTTGCTTCTGAATAGGGGTGTGACTGCTACTAGCCTCCAGAGTCTCGCTTACTCCTGAGGTGCCCATGGCTGCGGCGCACGGGAAACGCGAGGCTGCTGCAACATCTGCCCTAGTTGCTGCAAGGCTGGTTGCTGCAAGGGGGGGGGGGGGGAGGCTGCTTGAGTTATCGAATATGAACTCATGCATTTTCCAGGGCGTTCCTGCAAGTGGGCTGCTACCTTTGGGTGTCCTGCTTACGGGGGCCTATGCTGTTGTATTTTAGAGTTTTCGACCCTTTCTACTAGCGCTCCTGAATGCTTGCATGTTGTTCTTGCATGTATGTGTCCGGGCATCCATGTGTGTGTGTGTGTGCGTGTATGCATGCGTGCTTGCATGTGATTACAACCCCCCAGGGTCTGAGGGTGTATGGCAAGGGAGGCCAGGTGGTGCACAACGCGCTGCTGCCCAACGAGGTCACTCAGGAGGTGAGAGACAGTCAGACCCCGTCCCCCGATGCCCAGATGCGACAAGTTGCTACTCAGTCAGTCAAGGAGTGGGATCCTCGGCTCTCTATGCCCTTACAGCAAGGGAGGCAGGGTGGTGCACAACGTGCTGCTGCCTAACGAGGTCACTCAGGAGGTCAGCGCCGCTCCCCACTTTATGCGCATGTGTGTCGGTGCGTGCGGCTGTGCAGTAAAGCAGGCAAGTGATGTTTCCATCCTCCTCCACGGTCAGTCGACTCCCGCCCTCACGTTGTCACTCACTCTCCCCGTGTTACTCACTCCACCCCATATCACGCTTTCCAAGTTCAACGCACGGCAAGGCAAGGTGGACTACAGGAGTTCTAATTGAAGCCATTGGCTCCACTTGTGCCTCAGTGCTTTCGCACCGCCCTTCCTCCACCCCACAGGGTTTTGAGTTCGCGCTGAAGCACGGCAAGGCACTGATTGGCTTCTGTGGGGACCGCTGCGTGACACTTGTCGATCACCCATTGGTGGAGGCGCTACACACCATCTATTACGAGCCACGGGTATGATTGCCTTCTCCTGCTACTGCTGCTGCTGCTGCTGAAAGCATGTTCTTCATTGGTGATAGCGTTACACACCATCTACTACGAGCCCAGAGTACGGTGCGGCGAACGCGATGTCTATACCATGACACACCATGTGATTTCTTTCAGTATGCTCGTATTCCTGATCTGCTCATGTTGTAGTGTGCGTACATACAATGTGTGTATGTTGATGTTACTTATGTGCACTCCTGTTTGTTTGCACATTCTTGTGTGTGTGACAGGCGGAGGTGATGCCGAGTGTCCACCACATTATGAACGAGACTCCCATCCAGGTGAGCCCCACACCGGTGCCGTGTGACAGTATGACACTGTAGCGGGGTAAACTTAGCAGCTTGTCATCATCCTCTGTGAAGTGAAGTCCCGTCTGCATCAGTTCTCTTCCCCCTCTCTCGTACTACTCTCTCCTTCTTCACTGCTCCCTTCCCTCATTGCCTGCCCGTCAAGCAGAAGCTACTGTTCTACGACACGCCGCACGGCATTGACGGCTTTATTCGTCCTTTCTGGTCAGCCGCTACAGCTGGCCGTGCTACAGTGACCCAGGCGGTGCCGGACATGCTGGAGATCCTGCCATCCGGGCAATCCAAGGGCGCAGGAGTGCGAGTGCTGCTGGACCATCTCGAGCTCTCTGCTGAGCAGGTATGTTTTTTTGTCTTTCATATGGTGTATCAATCTAGTGCACATTTTTTTCCGCTAACCCTTTTGATTGTTATCTGCAAAATAAACGCACACACACACAGAAAAATGCACATGCACACACCCACATATAGACACAAACATTCAGGCCCTCTTGTCTATGTTGTTTGTGCTCTAACTTTTCACGTCAATCCACAATCGTGCTCTATTGTTTCGCGGCAGGTTATGGCAATCGGAGATGGGGAGAACGATCTTGAAATGATTGAGATGGTGGGTTGGGGAGTGGCTATGGCGAACGGTTCTGAGAAGACCAAGGCTGTTGCGAAGGCCACAGTTGCAAGCAATGACGAGGATGGTATTGCAGAAGCAATTGAGAAGTTCATCTTGTAAAGCACATTATGGTTTAATATATTCAAACGTGTGGGTGATTGAGGCCTGCTGCTGTATTCATTTCAATTTTCCAAATGGACTATCGGGACTGACGACAAGCGAAAGGCGCGAAAACTGGGCTCTGACACAATTTACACAGCTTAACCGTCAAGGTCCGTTTGGTTCCGGCTGTTCAAACGGCGACCGTCAACTAGGTTTCGCCACCTCGGTTTCTTCTTCCGCTCCAGTCACATCAATATTTTCCGTACCTTCAAATTGCAGCCAGCAAACCGAATGGTGGAACCCAGTCGCGTTTCCAAGAGCCGTTGCCAGTAGCATTTCAGGATTCTGGATTTGCGTCCAGCGTTTCGGGCACGCAAGAGAATCTGCCAGTCATCTTCACAGGATCGATCGACGACCCGCCTGAGTAATGGGCTCTGTCAGAAGTGAATCCTCGTAACCTAAGCGGTATCATCCGCGATCCAATGGCCATGGACACGTCTGCTGCCGCGCATCCCGCGCAGTTGTCCCTCCCCACCACGCCAGAACCGAGCTTCCGTGTTTCGCGGAGCGCAGGGAACGTGCAGGAATCCGCGAATGGCTCGAGCGCCGCGTCGACGCCGCGAAGCCACAAGGAGATGGAGGCGCTCGCGTACTCGTCCGGCCAGAGCCTGGCGTCGGTTCTTAACGACCCGCGCCTCGGAAAGGCCGGAATCTACGGAACCGAGAACGCGTGGACCTGGATTACCGCGCAGCGACCGGTGGAACCGGCTTTAGAGGGTCCTCCGCCTTTGCCGCCGGAAATTCAGGATTTTCCCATGTCGGAATTTCAGCCCTATTTGCAGCGGATGCGGGAGCCGTATGGGCGATTCGTGGACGTGCAGGAGCATTCCACGTGGGAGTTGGCCACTGGAGAAGCACCCGGTGCTGACGTGGACAGCGAAGGGAGAGAGGAACGGAAAGGAAAGGGTATTCTGGCGTCGCGGTCAGAAGGTCAGGGTCTAGCAGCGTGTCTTAGGGAAATACCACCGGTATATTTCGACGAGCATTTTGCCCTTGAGCGGAAGGAGATTTTTGATACGGTATGCCCGTCTCCCTCCATTCCCGCGAATATGCTTCTACAGGAGAAATTATCGCATTACTTAGACCTCGTCGAAGTACACTTAGTTAAAGAAATCTCTTCCCGCTCCGACTCGTTCTTCGAAGCCCTGGAAAAACTGGAAGATCTGAACCGTGGGATCGTGGAGACGTGCGATCGCATCCGTCAGTTGCGCGGCACGGTAGGCATGCTGGACGAGGATCTGCTGGAAGGATCGCGGAAGCTGCAGGCGACCAAGGTTCGGCGGGAGAATCTGCTGCAGCTGCATCAGAAGCTGAAGCTAGTGGCGTTCGTGCACCAGGCCATGGCGACGCTGAAGCTGGTAAGGCATTTCCTAGACGGCTTAGAGAAGAGAACTAAATTTTGAGCCGTCTTGCAGGGCTGTAGCTTGTGGCGTTCATGCACCAGGCCATGGCGACGCTATTTGTAAGAAGCCATGGCAGCTGGTGTCATGGAGCTACCGTGTGGGCGCATTGGCTATTGGCTGTGATGGACAGCCTCAGACGCCTCATGGACGGCACTGATCTCCCTGGGCCCTCGTGATGCTGCCTTGTGCTGCTTGCTTCCTGCTCGCTAAACCTCCCTTGCTGCCCCACATCCCATCACCCCACTGTCCGTGCCCATGCCATCAGCTGGTGTCATCGGGCGACTGTGCGGGCGCATTAGACGTGATGGATGACTTGAGGCGGCTCATGGACGGCCAGGAGCTCGCAGGGCTGCAACCCCGCTCTCTAACTCTTCGTTCCTGCCCCACACGCACCACCCCTGCCTATCAGCTGGTGTCATCGGGCGACTGTGCGGGCGCGCTGGACGTGATGGACGACCTCAGGCGTCTCATGGACGGGCAGGAGCTCGCAGGGCTGCACTGCTTCCGCCACCTCAACCACCTCCTCCTCTCCTCCTCCGATGCCGTCAATAGGTGAGGCTCTCTTTCTCTCTCTCCTCCCATTCTCACCTCCCACTCTCTCACCTCCCACTCTCTCTCTGCCACCCACCCTCACATCCCTCTCTGCACTGCTTCCGCCACCTCAACCACCTCCTCCCCTCCTCCTCCGATGCCGTCAACAGGTCGGTTGGTCTCTCTCCTCTTCCCACTCCCCTCCCCCCACTCCTATCTCGCCCCTCTCCCCCCCCCATGGGGGGGCTGCACTGCTTCCGCCACCCCAACCACCACCTCCTCTCCTCCTCCGATGCTGTCAAGTGACAAGGTCTGCCTCTCTATCCTCCTGCCACTCTTTCACCCTTTTCCTCCTTCTACTCGCCCATCCATCCATCCACTATCACTCCCAAGTGGCATGCCTCTAACGTCCATCCCATATACTCTCCAACCCAACCTATTCCGTCCATTCTCCCAGTCTCCTAACAGCCGACTTTGTGAGGGAAGCCGTGCACGATGCTGCTGACGTGGCTCCTTCCGCTATAGTCACCAGCTTCAACCTCCAGAAGAGCGTGCCCCCCGCTGAAACGCTACTCTCTATAGTCAACCTCGAGGTTTGTGTGCAGAAAATGCGTGACTATAGGTGCAAAGCGTGATGACTGTCGCAGAATCAGCGCTGTACTGGCATGGCGCGCTTCAGAGCTTCAGAGCCAGTCGCCCGGGCCTGCCCATGGTTGTGTCGTGGTAGTTGAGGTGTGAGACGTCTCAGTCATTAGCTGGCCGCACAGGTCTGTGATTGTTTCTTGTTCCTCATCCTCCTGTGCGCCCTGCCATGGCTCCTGCCGGCCTCAGTCCTGAATCTTGCCCCGTTTCTCGCCCCGTGCTTGTGTGGCTGCTCCATCCATGCCTTGTCTCGCCCCATGCATGCCTGTCGCATGCCTCGCCCTGCCACGTGCATGCCTCGCCCTGCCACGTGCATGCCTCGCCCTGCCTCGTGCATGCCTCGCCCTGCCTCGTGCATGCCTCGCCCTGCCACGTGCATGCCTCGCCCTGCCACGTGCATGCCTCGCCCTGCCACGTGCATGCCTCGCCCTGCCACGTGCATGCCTCGCCCTGCCACGTGCATGCCTGGTGCATGCATGGATCCCAACCCATTGCGTGACCCTATCATGCCCCGTCATTGCCCCATCCATGCCCCATCCATGCCCCATCCATGCCCCATCCATGCCCCATCCATGCCCCATCCATGCCCCATCCATGCCCCATCCATGCCCCATCCATGCCCCATCCATGCCCCATCCATGCCCCATCCATGCCCCATCCATGCCCCATCCATGCCCCATCCATGCAACATCCATGCCCCATCCGTGCTCTGCCCATGCCGGGAACAAGCAGCGAGAGGGCATGGAGGAGAGGGAGGCCCGTCTGCGAGAGCATCTGCTGCCGCTCGTCATCAGCCTGCTGCGCACAGTGAGTAATGGGCCAGGGTTCAGGGGTTGGAGTGTATGAACTAGGGTTTCGAGGTTAGGGGTTGGGGCACTGGCTCTCATGAGAACCAGGCATGCAGAGTGAACGGATGAGCGACAGGGAGGCTTGACCCTGAGAGCATCTGCTGCCGCTCGTCATCAGCCTGCTGTGCACAGTGAGCGTTCAGGGGAGAAGGTGTAGGTTTAAGCTTTGAGGTGTGCTGAGATGCAGCGAGAAGAAGCTTTAGGGTGCCTGGGACGTTTTTCCATCACCTTGCTCCCCCTGACCCTTTACCCACCGTCTCCCACCGTCTCATCTCCCCTGCATCAGTCGTGCCGCGCGTACGGAGACGCAGTGAATGCGGACATCAAGGCGGCAATGTTGTTCCTTCACACTCCCCCTATCCCTACCTACTCCACTGCCTCCCTTCCCCCCCACCAGTCCCGCCTGCCCGCAGTGCTGAGGGCCTATCGAGACGCAGTAAATGCGGACATCAAGGCGGCCGTGAAGACAGTGGTGGGCGAGCTGCTGCCGCTGCTCTTCCTGCAGCACGCCGCTGCTGCTGCTGGCGGGGCGGCGGGTGGTGCAGGAGGAGAAGGGGGTGAGGCTGCAGCGGATGCGCTCAACGGTGAGACACGTGGGCTGTGGTGTGGGGGATGGAACATTGGGGACGGGTTAATTTGGAGTGTTTCCTACTAGCTCTGAAAGAGGAGCGGAGGGGGGTGAGCCTGCAGCTCATGTGCTGAATGGTGAGACACGTGGGCCGTGGGGGATGGAACGAGGGGGAGGGGCTGATTTCGAGTATTTTCTTTGAATATCAATGACGAGGGGAAGGGGACGAGCCTGCAGCGGATGTGCTGAATGGTGAGACATGGGGTGCGAGGCTGCTGCTGTGAGATAGGGGCTGGTTTGGAGTCGTTTCCTTACAGTTATCACAGAGGAGGGAAAGTTGACCAGCCTGCTGCTGATTATTTTTCTCGCCCTTTCCATTCTTATGAGATCTCACACCCCATTTCTTCCACCCACGTAGTCTTCTCCATACCAACTACCATGTACACATCCACTCAACCCTCACTGTCCTTCCACTCTTCTTCCCCCACTCACTCGTTTTCCCCCCTTTCTGCCCACCTCCCTCCCCCACCGCCCCCAGCGCCATCACTGGCCCTCAAGCTCCGTGCCCTGGCCCCGCCCGCCTTTGTCCACTTGCTGCTGGCCGTCTTCTCTGCCGTCCAGACCCGCCTTGTGCGGGCGGCAGCCGTTCGGAACGTAGTGTCCAGCATCGCCACCGCCGGAGCTGCTGCCGGTGCTGCAGCTGTGGCCGCCGAGCCTGCCGCCCTCGCAGGCTCGGAGGGGTACGAGGCTGCTGCCGTGGCTGCGGCGTTTGCTTCGGGGGCAGAACTAGTGGTGGCTGCCGAGGCGGCTGAGTCGAATCTGTTGGGGAGGAAAGGGGTGGGGAAAGGCTTGGGAGGGGGAGGGGCGACAGGAGGTGGTGGGGGAGCAGCAGGGAGCGGAGAGGCAGTAGGGGGCGATGTGAGCAGCGTGGCTGCTTTAGCCACGTCCAAGCAGCTCAGGTACGTTGTGCTCCCACCCACCTGACCTCTGTCACCTGTGCTCCCACCTGACCTCTGTCACCTGTGCTCCCACCTGACTTCTGTCACCTGTGCTCCCACCTGACCTCCCACCTGCCACACGTGCGCAGTGAATTGTTTTCTGCCCTTTCAGATAGCTTCCGTCCTGACTCGGACGTTGGAGGCGACTCAGAAGTCACCGCGTTACTCTGCCCACCACCCCCCTCTTCCTTCCCACAGAGCGGACGTGTTGAGGGAGAATGCAGAGGCAGTGAGCGATGCATGTGAGGTGGCGCATGGGCGGTGGGCGAAGCTGCTGGGCGTGCGAGCACAGGTGCACCCGAAGCTGGCTCTGGGGGACTTTGTGGACATGTACGCTGTCACCTCCGACTTCATTGCATCCACTGAACGGGTGAGCTCGCTGCCGTTCCCTGCCTCGTACACCTCTCTTGTTCCTTCCTGCTGTCTCCACATCACTCCATGCCCGTCCGCGCCTCTCCTTCTGTTCCTCTGTGCTATATGTGGTCTGCAGCCTCGGCTGTAGCATTCGAGGGCCAGTGCCCCTTGAGCGCTTTCTGTCTCATGCCTCCCTTCCTTGCCTCTCCCTGCCATGCACCACCTCTCCGTCCAGTCGGTGCTACAGGTGGGCAGTAGGCTGGGCCACAGCATACGGGGCCTGTGCCTCTCATGCTCTTTCCCTCTCATACCTCCGCTCCCTTGTCTTGCCTCCCCTCTCATACCTCTGCTCCCTTGTCTTGCCGACGTGCAGGTGGGCGGCCGCCTGGGCTACAGCATACGGGGTGCGCTGCAGTCGCAGGCCAAGGCGTTTGTGGAGACACACCACTCGCGGGAGGTGAGGTGCAGCGGTGGAGGGAGGCGGTGGGCGAGGGGTCAGGTGAGGGGTCAGGTGAGGGGTCAGGTGAGGGGTCAGGTGAGGGGTCAGGTGAGGGGTCAGGTGAGGGGTCAGGTGAGGGGTCAGGTGAGGGGTCAGGTGAGGGGTCAGGTTAGATGGGCGAGGTGCAAGAGGAATGGGCAACAACAAGGCCTCCCGTTTAGCCTCTCCCCCCTCCTCTCTCCTCTCCCCGTGATCTTCTCCTATCCCATTAGAAGGCTTTCATGGTCTCATTGTGTAACAAGGGCATGTGGGGCTGCAGATGCTTCCGATCATCGGCTCATCCACTGCCCACTTTCTCTGCTCCCCGCTCCCTGCTTTCTGCTCGCCTCTCTCCTCTCATCCTGTCCGATGGCACTCAAACTCTCCCTACTCAACAACACACATGAATGGCAGTGGATGTAATCACACTACCTCTACTAAACGAGGAAATGTGGACGGCTGTGGATGTATTCACACTATTGGCTCACCGCTCTCTCCTCCCTGCTCCCCTCTCATCCCATCAGATGGCGCTCATCCTCTAACTGCTCAACAAGGAGACGTGGACGGCTGTGGATGCATTCACTTCACTCTACTGGCTCCTGTGCTCACCGCTCTCTCCTCCCTGCTCCCCTCTCATCCCATCAGATGGCGCTCATCCTCTAACTGCTCAACAAGGAGACGTGGACGGCTGTGGATGCATTCACTTCACTCTACTGGCTCCTGTGCTCACCGCTCTCTCCTCCCTGCTCCCCTCTCATCCCATCAGATGGCGCTCATCCTCTAACTGCTCAACAAGGAGACGTGGACGGCTGTGGATGCATTCACTTCACTCTACTGGCTCCTGTGCTCACCGCTCTCTCCTCCCTGCTCCCCTCTCATCCCATCAGATGGCGCTCATCCTCTCACTACTCAACAAGGAGGCATGGACGGCTGTGGATGTAATTACACTATTGATTCCCCACTCTCGTCCCTCCACTCCCCCTCTCACCCCAACAGATAGCGCTCATCCTCTCCCTCCTAAGCAAGGAGACATAGACGGCTGTGGATGTAATCACACTGCCTCTCTGTTCCTCGCTGTCCCTCCTCTCCCCATCTCACCCCAACAGATGGCGCTCATCCTCGCCCTCCTAAGCAAGGAGACATGGACGGCTGTGGATGTAATCACACTGCCTCTCTGTTCCTCGCTGTCCCTCCTCTCCCCATCTCACCCCAACAGATGGCGCTCATCCTCTCCCTCCTAAACAAGGAGACATGGACGGCTGTGGATGCCACTCCTCACACCCAAGCCCTCGTCGACTTCTTCTGCACCTTCCTGGATCCTTCCGCCGAGGCCGCCGCTGCTGCTGCTGTTGCTGCTGCTGATGCTGCTGCTGCCACAGCTGCTGCTGATGCCGCTACTGTTGCTGCTGATGAGGCTGCCGCTGCTGCTGCTGCTACTGCTGCTGCCGCTGCTGCTGCTGCTGCTGTTGATACGACTGCTGCTTCTGATGCTGCTGGATCTGCTGTGGATGGGTACAGGGGTGCAGATGAGGCTGTGTGTGACACAGTAGCGGTCAATGGTCCGGTGACAGGTGGCACTGTGGCGAATAACACGGAGACAGGTGGTGGTTTGGCACAGGCTGGAGGTGGGCTGAGGAAAGATGGGGCACAAGGGTCAGGGCAGCTAGAACAGGCAACAGAGGGTGATAGGGGTGACAGGCAAGGGCAGGAGAATGCCAGAGTAGGGGAAGGAGGAGAAGCAGGAAGAGGAGAGACTGAGAGGGTAGGGGTGGAGGGGGTGGAGAAGGGAAGGGAATCGAGGGAGGGAGGTGAGGGAGAGGCGGAGGGGTCACAGCGGAGAGAGGCGGCGACAGGTGCAGCAGCGCCGGCAGCACCAGCTGCACTGACAGGTGCAGCAGCGCATGCAGCAGCTTCTGCTGCTGTGACTGCCCCTTCTGCTGCCTCTCCTGCTGCTACTACTGCTGCTCCTCCTGCTGCTGCCTCTCCTGCCGCTCCTCCTGCTGCTGCCTCCCCTGCTTCGCCTGCCACTGGAACAGCAGAGGGGGCCAAGGCACAGAAGAGAGCAGCTGTGAAGACTGTTGTGTGCCGGGGAGTGAAGTACCACGTCACTGGCAGGTGAGCGACGTGCCATGTCACTGGCAGGTGCGGGGCTGGAACTGGCAGGTAAGGGCTTCTGTGAAGAAAGGAGCATGCAGCATGCTCCTTAGCATGAGAGTCACCCCCATCAGCAGGCGATACCGTGCTGTTGGGTATTAGAGACGAGCGTTAGTCGTATGGCAGGCTCGTTAGTATGTGGCCGTGGCGGATGCACTCCCATGGCTGTGAGGGGGTTTGGTGCATCGCGTGGCCCCCCTTCCTTCCCCACCCTCATACCCATCCTCTCCTTCCCCACCCCTTCCCCATCAGTGCTTCCACGCTGCTCTCAGTCACCAGAGAGTACGTGGCAGTGGCAGAGGCGCTACCATCACTCTCAGGGGAGGTGGTGCAGCGCCTGGCCGACCTGCTGAAGCTCTTCAACTCGCGCACCTGCCAGCTCGTGCTGGGTGCGGGCGCCATGCAGGTAGCAAGCAGAGGCGGTAGCAGGTAGCAAGCAGAGGCGGTAGCAGGTAGGGGCTTGTCAATGCAGGTAATGAGGCCATGTGCATTGAGCAATTTGCACGACCACTCTCCAGTCCACTCTCCAGTCCACTTACCAGCTCGTGCTCCTGTTGCCTTGCATTGATGCCAATTGCCGCTGCCAACATATTTTGCACATGTGTCTACATTAATGTGGGCTCGTTGTTGCTCCTCTCCTTCCCTCCCTCCCTCCCTCCTTGCCTCCCTCCCTGCTCCCTCCCTGCAGGTGTCAGGGCTGAAGACCATCACAGCCAAGCACCTCGCTCTCTCCAGTCAATGCATCTCCCTCGTCTATGCTCTTATCCCCGGTGAGCTTTCTGGTACAGTCACAAGAGATTGACGTGCTGAGCTGCCTATATCACAAGGTAAGCCTGCAGTGGAACACAACACGTGAATGCACGGCGTAGCGAGCCTTGGCTCCTCAGCATCAATGCATGGGGGGCATGCGTCTCACTCATCTGCGCTCCCATCCCCTGCCACCTGCTGCACGCAACACTCACCTGCCTGCACACTGTGTGGCGTACTCATCCCCAGTGTCTCATGCACGCCCATGTGCATTGCTCATTCACATTGCTGCCGTGTTGTTCTTCCTTGCACAGTTGCACTCATCTCCTTCTCCATGCACTCATCATACCCCATCCCAGATCGCCCCCACTCCCCCATCGCCCCCCTTTCCTCGTCGCCCGCCCTCCCCATGTCCCCACCCATTAGACCTGCGGCGCATTCTCTCTGCCTTCATCCCAGACGCGCGCCGAGGGCTCGTCATAACACACCTTGACCGCGTGGCTCAGGTATGCGTGCCCGCACCCCATTGCTGCCCGCACCCCATTGCTGCCCACACCCCATTGCTGCCCACACATGTGCTCCATGCTGCATGCTCCCGCTACTGTGCTTTCTAATGCCAAACCCCACCCCACCCCACCCGACCGCACCGCACCCCACCGCACACTACCACCAGGACTACAGGGTGCACAGGGATGAGATCCACAGCAAGCTGGTGGCGATCATGAGGGAGCGCCTGCTGGTGCACCTGCGATCGCTGCCCGCAGTAGCTGACACCTATAGCCGCCCGGATGACTCCCCTGCCGAGCAACAGCCCTCCAACTTCGCCCGCGCTCTCACCAAGGCATGCCTCTCAGATGGCCCACATGCCTCTCACGCCTCTCATTGAAATGTCCTGTCTCTTCATGATCCGTGCCTGTCAGTGTGTGTCAGTGCACACTGCCTCTCTTTTGCTCTGGTTCATTCTTATCTCTCTCCCCTCAACCCCACATGCTTGCCCCTAACCTCTCATATTGGCATCTTACCTGCACCATCTCACTCCCATCTCAACCCCAGATGCATTTTTTATGAAATCTTTAGATGAAGTTGAACCCCCACCCACTCCCCCCCGCCACCGTCCATCGGCCATCTTCCCCCGCCAGGAGGTGGGCGTGCTGCATCGCATCCTCTCCCCTCTGCTGCTTGAGGCTGACCTTCGCTCCATCTTCTCGTGCGTACCACACTGCACTGTACCATACTCAACCATGGCATGGTCAAGCCATGTGTTCTTCTTGTTTCCACAAATGCCACTCATTTCCACAGGCAGCCCTCATTTCCACAGGCACCAGAACTCTTCTATCCGCTGCATATCCTATTTCCACATATGCTGCACATACCTTCGCCTTCACTCATGCGCTGAGATCCAAATGCCGCACCGATCTTCCGCTCTCCCCTCCTCTCCTCGCGCCTTGCGCCTCTCCTGTGTGTGCGTGCATGCACATGTGTGTGTGTGGTGGCGGCACCCGCACATCAGGCGGGTGGTGGCGCTGTTCCACGTGCAGCTTGCCGACTCCTTTGCCAAGATCGACACGCCCACGCCGCAGGCCAAGCGCAGGTCAGAGGAGAAGCAGGGGAGGGACGAGGGTTGGGGGGGAGAGGGTCGCATGATGCACTCGTGTGTTGTTGATGCGGCTTTGCAGTCCGCTCATGCCTGCTTCGCAGCCCAATGTGGGTGGGGGAGCATTCTTCTCCTTTTCTATGCATTGCTGGTTCCGCATGGTCTCTCTGTACCGTATCCTCTATCCTGTTCAGCACCCGTGTTGTTCCATGCGTTATTGTTACTCTTCTGGTCTAGTCGTCTCAAGTGGCGTGCAGAGCTACACTCACTTTGCAAAGCTTCTGCTTGCCTTTTCCCATCTATTCTTTGGTTTGTACAGAATGTACCGAGACGTGGATCTCATTCTACAGTGCATGCGGTCGTTACCTGGTAACCCACCGACGTCCTCTTTTGACGGGCGGCAGAGAGAGCTTGACCAATTTGTGCTTTCTAGGTTCGGGAACAGTGCCCCCCCTCCCTGACGAATTGTTGTATCTGATTGTTACATGAAGCCTCTCATTTATGTATGAGATCCTGAAAGTTATATTGAAGTGTACCTAGAAAAGAGAGTGCTACATCAAAAGTTACATCAAACGTCAAGCAAGTTGTGCATTGCATTGTGCTACATACGAACTGCATGTACCGTAATTCTTTTCTCCAGTTGACACCAATCGCATTGCATTTGTCTGCGACCATGGTCATTCATCAGGTCTATCTAGAGTAGTAATCAAATGCAATGTATAGATGATTTGGGCAGTGTGTACAGTCAGTTATCCCGAACTGAAAAGTGAAATTGTTTGTGAACGAGTTTTTTTTCTCAGTCCCACGCAAAAAGTATTGCAGCGTTGTTCAGCTGATCCTCACTCCTGCCCAACAACCTTGTTCGAGAGAGTAACCCACAGAAGACCGTCCGATTCAAATCATCGGACGGAGAGTTCAACCCCTGTGGTTTTGATTTTTCGAGTGACTAGTTTGGGTGCTGTGTGGAAGGTGGTCGATTGGAGCACGAGGGCAGCTCCACGTTTGCTGAATCCCTCAAGAGCCCCGACAGGCTGTTGCATCTGACGGTTTATAGTTTTTTAGTTATGAATCGGACGGTTAAAACGCATCTTCGAGCTTTTCTCTTTCTTGCTCTTGAAACCCTAGCCTCCCACACTCCCGTCCTCCTGCTCGCTCAAACTTTCTTCTCCTCTGCCGCTTCTGTCGTGCACTATTTTTTTTAGGGACCCTGGCTTTCACTTTCTTGTTCTTCCTAGTTTTGTTTCTCCTGTTTTTGTCGAGGTCTCCGAAAGTTTCAGCCGCCACCTTTCAAGCTGGCAAAAAAATAATTTCAGCACCCCCTTCTTACATACCAAGGTAGGAATGCATCAGGCAAATTAAAACAAAGCTTCAGCTTGCTCTTGAACCAAGCTTTTAGAATTTGGCGTACATTTTTAGACGCTTATTCCACAGTTTGAGCTTGACGACTATGGCTCCTCTTTTCACACGTGTCTTCAGGTCTTCGTTCGAGAACAAGCTGTTTCAAAATTTCCTTCGCGGAGTATCGAATCCATCACCGCAACTAGATAGTAGTGCAATTTTGCCAAGATGATGCAAATGCCTGGAATGGCGTACGAGGACGAGCGGGCGAAGATGATAGCCTTTCCCGCCATGCCTCCACCGCACATGATCATGTCAGCAGGCAACCCGGTTTCGGTTAGAGCAGTCGACTTAATTCCTCGTGATGGCCTACCGCATGAGACTTATCGCATGGCCCTAGGCACGTTGATGAGCTCGCTAGCTCGATTCAACTACGGTAAGTGCTCAACGTCGTCGCCGCGTATGTATCGTAGCTCCGGAACGCAGTAGTTAAACTGACAGAAACGCAACGTTTATGATTGTTATCCAGCGATCATTCAGATGCCACCTGGCGATGAAGCTCTGGTCCGATACACGCTAGACTCCTCGCGCGTTTATTTCCAAGTAAGTAATCTCCACGGACTTTCCGTTTTAGCTCGACTTTCCTGCACGAGCGCAGCTGACATTTGTCTTGTCGGTGCAGTTTAAGCGGCGACCGTCCCCGGCAATGCAGTCCATTCCGAGCGCGGACGACCCCCAGGAGTGGAACCGAACCGCAGGCTACTACTGCGAACCGCATGTCGGGAAGGAAGTGTACGAGTTCCGACCAGGCGCAACACCAATCAGCGCTGTTCCGGAGGATTCCATCCCTCCCTCATGTCTTCCAGGTCCGTTGCTTGTTTGCCGTGTTTCTGCGTCTGACGAAGTGGTGTGTCGACCCTTGTCTGACTTCCATTCGTTTCTTTGTTCTTTTTGTGTGTGTGTTGTGTGTGTGTGTGTGTGTGTGTGTGTGTGTGTGTGTGTGTGTGTGTGTGTGTGTGTGTGTGTGTGTGTGTGTGTGTGTGTGTGAGAGAGTGCGTGCGTGCGTGCGTGCGTGCGTGCGTGCGTGCGCGCGCGCGCGCGCGCGCGTGTGCGTGCGTGGTTTTGCAATGTCCTTTCCCGTTCGACATAACAGATGCGTTTGGGAGCATGGGAAAGACGTCGAGGACGGTGTTGGAGGCGATAGGAAGGTCTCTGGACCTGCGCTCCTACACGTTCACGGACCTCCTGGACAACGTTCCTCTCAAGGCCAACGAAATCTCCTCCTCCGTGCTTTCCGTCACCTGCCATGGACGCCGCTTTGCCAAGTAAGTATCCAGATAATTGATCAATTGTCCCCCTGCCCCTCCTCCCCTCCCCAACCCCCTCTCCCCCCCTCTCCCCCCCTCTCCCCCCCTCTCCCACAATTCTCCCACAATTCTCCCCACAATGTTTCGTCCCTACTCCGTTTTCTCGCCGTTGTTGCCGCCATTGCCTGCGCATGTGCCTGCTCTCTCAATCCATTCTGACATGGTGACTGTTGGATGAGCAGCGAGACGATGATGGATCCAGCAATGGACGACAAGGATCCTCTCCTCATCCCTCCAGAGGACGCCGAGGCGCGAGCGGAGAAGGGGTTGGTGACGCTGATCAAGTCGGACCGCCCTGGGTTGTACATCCGCGACCCGCAGAACCAATGGCTCCTAGCAGACGCCAACCTCGGCCCCAACGACCTTATACTCATTACCGGATTAACTTTATATCAGGTACCTTCCAACCCAGGATTGCATGATCCATCGGTCAACCCTTTCACGTTCTTGCCGTTTCTGTTCGTAGTAACTTTTGTGTATTGCGTGTGGGTGGCGTGCGCTGTCCTTATCTCGTCCTCCGCCCGGCAATCCCCATGGCTTCCGCCTGGCAGGCCACAGGCGGCTACGTCAGCCCAGCGCTCTACAAAACGGACCTGGCGAGCGCGTCCGTGGGCATGCAGGTGCCCGAGGGGCGCGCGTCCGTGTTCTTCCGCCTGCTGCCGCGCGCGTCCTCCATCATCCACTGCTCCGCCATGGCGGCCTCGGGGCACGCGATTGCAGGGCCGTTCCAACAGCCGGTGGCGGTGCAGGACTTCATGCTGCGGCAGCACCCCATCGACCAGATTGCCGCTGCCTCGTACAATGGACTGCTGCGTCCCATGGGCATGGGCGCCGCCATGCCCATGGTCGAACCAGGTGGGCGCTGGGGGCAGCAGGATGTGGGATTAGTCCAGTTGACAATGGCATCAATATCCGATTCCGCAGCCGAGTGTGCTGGAAGGGTACAGTGGGCCGCTGCGCCCCATGGTCATGTGCGTCTCGCCATGCATGTCATAGAACCTGTCCGACCGGTGCCTTGTGTGTGGCACTTGCAGGGTCACCGAACGTGCGGCGGCGCAAGAAGCAGCGCATGATGGGCAGCGACGGGCGGTCACTGGCGCCGTCGAAGCGGCTGCGCATGGAGGCACAGCGCGTGCTCAAGGAGAAGGTGCAGGACCTGGCGGACGCCAAGGGCATCAAGATCCGCTTCTGCAACCTCAAGGTCAGCCTGCTGCCTGCTTCTCCCTGCCTGCAAGGGGCAGAGCATGCATCACCTGCTTGCAAGGGGCAGAGTATGCATCACCTGCTTGCAAGGGGCAGAGTATGCATCACCTGCTTGCAAGGGGCAGAGTATGCATCACCTGCTTGCCTTCCCTTACAGGCTGGCATACTGGTTCATCAGTGGTGCCACTATTTGACATCAACCATGGGGTTCACTTCAGTGTGTGCGTTTCATCCCATTCCACCTCCTCCTGTGTCTGCCCATGTGCGTCCACCAGGAGTGTGAGGAGCAGCACATGGCGATGGAGGAGCCGCCGTGCTCGTACCTGCGGTTGCAGCTGGGGTGGCCAGCCAACGTGCCCTTTGTGCACCCGCACGACCTGCCCAACCGCGCCAAGCAGGCCTTCCTTGAGGCCTACGAGCCCGGCTGGTCTGAGCGCCAGCTCTCCGAGCCCATGGGCATTGAAGTCGGCACCACGCCCAAGCGCGTCCAAGGTGAGTGCGTCGCCTCTTGTGTTGGCCAACGCAATCATAGCAACATCAACTGCAGGTTCAGTCCCACTGTACCTCACTCACCTAATCGCACATGCCACTTCCATGCCTCACTACTCAAAAGCATAGTGGCTCAATCTTCTCTGCATGAACCACTGTTGCCATGCCCGTGTGCGCCTCCCTACAGCAGAGACGTTCATGGACCCCATAGGGCCGGATGCCAAGTTCTCGACGAGGGCGGTGTACGAGTACCTGCGCACCAACAACAAGCCCGTGCCCACCGGCAAGCCCCAGGTCGTGGGCCACAAGGTCGACATCCCGCTGCTCTGCCGCATCGCCTTCGAGGCCGGCGGCAAGGAACAGGTCAGTCACTGCACACCTGCCTGCTCTGCAAGACTGGGAAAATCACCTGTTTGACAGCGCTATTCCGAACCTGATGCCGTTTTATAGTTTTTGCGTTTTGCGTATTGATGTGCATTCCACGATACCCGATCCCCTTTCTTCATGCAGTTTGAGCAGATCAACGGCTTCCAGCGCTTCATAGCGGAGACGTTTCATCTGGATGGAGCAACGGAGAAGGAGAAGGAGCGCGCACTGGAGCGGCTGCGCAAGCTGTATGAGCAGGTGCTGGCGGACTATGTTGAGACACTCGTTGCCAACCATGCCATGGGCATGGCTGCTGGGGGCGCAGGGCAGCAGCACATGGGTGGGGGTGAGCAGCAGCAGCAGCAGCAACAACAACAGCAGCAGCAACAGCAGCAGCAGCAACAACAGCAGCAGCAGCAAGTGCAAGTGCCTCAAGAAGGGAACATGCAGCAGCAGCAAGAGCAACAACAGCAACTCATGGCGATGTGATTTGGTTACAGTTAGGGTTTCCCTTGTATGATGGCTCTCATCTATATGGCTTGTGTATAGTATGGTGCAGAGCTGACTCACAGGGTGGTTGTGAGATGGCTCATAAGGGGTGCACTAGTGAATGGTGTGCCACAGGCTTTCAAACTTTGGTTTGGCACAAGGTTCAAAAAAACGTCGTTTTTTTGACAATTTACCGTAAAAAACGGTACCGTAAAATACGGACCGTAAAAACGGTAAAAAACGGTTCCAGAAGGTGATTTTCGTTTGAAGAAAAAATTGGCAATTTTATGTGACCAAATTGATGGCGAAAATCACCAGGATGAAGAGGAGTGTCAAATGTTGTAGCCTATAGTGAGGTTTGTCTTAAGGGGTACAAAACTTAGGGTTAGCTATATGTACCTCAACCAACATCAATGCATCATCCATTCCTCATTCTGACATGGTATCAGTTAGGTTAGGATCCTGTGGGATCCCGTTCCTCCGTTCTCCGTTCGTATCTCCCGAGCCTGATCCTACCTTTCATTCGTACCGGTTCCGTTGTTACCGCGCCTAGTGCCGAGCCTAGCGCCCTTCCCCCCGTAACCTAGCGCCCTTTCCCCCCCGTCACGTCGCGCCCTTTTCCCCCGTTACGTCGCTCCCGTCCCCGTCCCGTCCCGTCGCCCTGCCCCGTCCCGTCCCGTCCCGTCCCGTCCTGTCCCGCGGCCCTGCCCCGTCCCGTCCCGTCGCCCCGTCCCGTCCCGTCGCCCCTGCCCCGTCCCGTCCCCGTCCCGTCCCGTCGCCCTGCCCCGTCCCGTCGCCCCGTCCCGTCTCCCTACCCCGTCGCGTCGCCCTCCCCCGTCGCGTCGCCCTGCCCCGTCGCATCGTGCCCGCCCTTTCCCCCGTCCCGTCGACCCTACGCCCTGGCCCGTCGCTCTAGCCCGCTCTTCCGCTGCGACTAAGTCCCACCTGAACCCTAATTTGCCTCTTACCTCCTGCTGTTACTCGCCTGCTCGTTCGCGTTAGTTTTCGCTATGGCGACTCCGCGAGTTCTTCGTTTCGACGCTGACGGCAGACCTCTTGACTTTTCCGTCTGGCTCCTTCGCGCTCGCCGTCTGTTAGAGAGTCAAGTCCAGGGGGGCGAGACCCTCTGGTCGCACGCTACTGGTGACCTCCCCGAGCCCCCCGAGCCTGCCGCTTTAGGTCCTGCCCCTGACGATGCTGCTACGGCTCGCTTTGCCCGTCAGCGCGCTGACAGGACGGCTTGGACGTCGCGTGACGCTGCGGCCTGCATCGCACTCAGCAGCCTCCTCCCTGAGTCAGAGGAGGTCCACTTCACTCAGGTTCGCACCGCTGCTGCGTACCTCACTGCGATTAAGGCCCGCTACTCTACTCCCACTACTGTCTCTCTTGGCCGTCTTTTCCTCCCGTTCCTGTTTCCTGATCTCGCCTCGTTTGAGCGCTCTGCTGACTTGATCGCTCACCTCCGCTCGCTCGACGCTAGTTACCGCGCTGCTTGCACTGAGGCACAGCTTGCACTGCTTCCTCCCCCCATGGCGATTACTATCTATTTCATCGCCACTAGCCTCCCTGACCGCCTTGCCTCCGTACGTGACGCGCTCCTGCTGAAGCACCCTAGTGAGCTGACAGTCGAGGTCCTTGAGTCTGCGCTCAAGGACGTCGAGAGCAACCTTCGCTCGGTAGCTGCCGCCTCTGGTGCTGTGCCCCCCCCACTCTTCCACGGGTGCACAGTCCCGCAGTTACCCACCTTCACTGCCTCTCTTGCCACTGCCGCTACTGACGCGACTGCAGCTGCTGTTACGACTGCGTCGCGGTCCCGCGGCAAGGGGGGCAAGAAAGGTGGTTCTGGTGGAGGTGGAGGCGGAGGTAGCGGAGGTAGTGGGGGTGCTGTTGCGACTGGCGGTGGTGGGAGTGCAGCGTCTGGAGAGACCTCTCGTGCAGCGGCTGGTGACTCCACTGCGCCTGCTGGTGGTGGCGACACCCGAGCTCGTCAGTCGTCTCCTGTACTGCCGGCCCCGCTAGGTGGAGCAGCGGCGTGGTACCAGGCTCAGCGTCAGCAGCGGCTTCAGCAGCAGCAGCAGCCCCTCTCCTCCCAGCAGCCTCAGCAGCAGCAGCGTCAGCAGCTGGCTCCGGGGTCGGGGCTGCGTCAGCCCCAGCGTGGTGCTGCTTACCCTCCCTGCACCTATCAGGTTCTGACAGGTCCTCGTCGGGGCCACCCTTGTGGCCGCTTTCACCCCCCTGGTCAGTGCTTTGCTCAGCTCACTGACACGGTCCGGTTGGCCTACGGGGTTGGCGGTCCTGCCCTTGACTGGCTTCCTCTGGTTCAGCGCTACGGCTCCGCTCTGTGGGGCATGTCTGCTGAGCAGTTAGTTGATCTGATTGGTGCTCCTCATGCTATGTATGCTGTTGTTGACTCTAGTGTTTCTGACTCTGCTTACTCTGGTGTTGTTAGCTTAGGTGCTAGCCTTGCTCAGTTGCCTGTTGCTAGTGTAGGTTCTTGTGTAGACTCTAGTCCAGCGGCTACCTCAGAGGACGGTTCGCTGTCGTTCACGCTGGACTCTGGAGCCTCTCACTGCTTCTTTCGTGACAGCACGACACTTACGCCTCTTCCTGCGCCTGTTTCTGTGGCGCTGGCTGATCCCACTTCGGGACCAGTCACCGCGCGTCACACTACCACCTTGCCGTGTCCGGCTGCTCCTTCTGGGTCTCTCACTGGGTTTCACGTCCCCTCGTTCTCCCGGAACTTGGTGGGCGTGCGACCCCTTGTGAGTCAGCACGTGGGTGTGTGGTTTGAGCCTTCTGGAGAGACTGCGGTGTGTGTTGACGGGGACTCTTACCAGCCTCTCGCCACTTTTGCTGCTGAGCCGGGCTCCGGTCTCTACACTCTTCACACTGGCCCGCGCGCTCAGCAGCGACTGCAGCAGCAGCAGCAGCAGCCTCAGCAGCGGCAGCAGCAGCAGCCGCAGCCACAGCGGCCGCCGTCGCAGCAGCCACTCCTCCCAGTTCCTGTCCCTCCCCCTAGTCTCCTCCCTGCGTCTCACCAGGTGGTTCCGTCCCCTCAGGTTGTCGCGTCCAGTCCAGTCGCTGCGTCTTGCTCCTGTCGGTCGCTTGCCCACCCCACCGTTCTGTGGCACCACCGGATGGGACACCCTTCTCTTCCACGTCTGCGTGCTATGTCTAGTCAGCGTCTGGTCTTAGGTCTCCCGCGTGTCTTGCCGTCGCTGCCGCCGTCCCTTGCACCACCGTGCGGTCCTTGCGTCGAGGGTAGGCTGCGTGCCACCCCTCACTCCTCCTCCCTTCGTCCGGCCACCGAGCCTTTTGAGACGCTGCACTTGGACGTCTGGGGCCCCTCTCCTTGCCCTGGCCCTGAGCGTGAGCGTTTCTTTTTGGTGGTCGTTGACGACTACTCCCGCTATACCACAGTGTTCCCCCTGGCGAGGAAGTCTGAGGTGACTTCTACGCTGATCAGGTGGTTGCTTACCACCCAGGACACTCGTGGTCGTCGTGTCAGCTGTCTCCACTCCGACCGCGGGGGCGAGTTTCGCTCCGGCATTCTCGCTGGATTCTGTCGCGAACAGGGCATTCGTCAGTCCTGGACGCTTCCGGAGTCCCCACAGCAGAATGGGGTTGCTGAGCGTCGCATAGGCCTGGTCATGGAGATTGCCCGCACCTCCTTGACTCACGCCCGTGCCCCCCATTTCCTGTGGCCATACGCAGTCAGGTACGCCGCGCACCAGCTGAACCTCTGGCCACGCGTCTCTCGGCCGGAGGCTTCACCGACCAGTCTTTGGACAGGGTCCCCTGGTGTCGCGTCGAGGTTTCGTGTCTGGGGGTGCTTGGCTCTTGTCCGCGACACCTCCGCGGACAAGCTCTCGCCTCGCGCCGTTCCTTGTGTCTTCCTTGGTTTCCCTGAGGACTCCTCTGACTTCACCTTTTACCACCCTCCCTCTCACCGGTTCTTTGACTCCCGTGACGTCCGTTTCGAGGAGTCCACCCCGTACTACGTCAGGTACCCCAGTCGAGGTCTCCCGGTTCCTCCTCCCCCCCTCTTCCTGACAGCCGCTCCCCCGCCTGCTCCCCCGGTACAGCCTCCCCCCCCTGGTCCAGCCCCGTCTGGTGTGTCTCAGGCTAGCCCTCCCCCTTCGGTAGCCCCCCCTGTACAGCCTCCCTCCCCACAGTCTTCCTCACCGCCTCCTGTAGGTGCTCCCTCTCGGGAGGTTGGTCCTGCGACTGTCCCTGTACAGGTCTCTGGTTCTGGGGGTGCTGGAGTTGGAGCTGAGCCGCGGGTTGCAGAGGACTCTTCTCCTCCGGGGGCTGGTACTGGTCGTGCGGAGTCTGGGGGTGCTGGTGCTGCGTCTGGGGGTGAGGGTGTTCCTTCGGTTTCTGGAGAGCCTGGGTCTGGAGCTGGTGTTGGTGCTGCCTCTGGGGGTGGTGTGCTTGGTGCTTCGGAGGTCGACTCTGGGGCTGCCGCTGCCCCGGACACTACTCCTTCCCCCCACCCCTACCCGACCAGGTTCCAGGCTCGTGTTCGCCGTGCTCGTGAGGAGCAGCTGGAGTTGGAGAGAGAGGAGAGAGAGTTGCAGCGGCTCGAGGAGCAGGAGCGACAGCAGCAGGAGCAGCAGCAGAGGCAGCAGCCGCTGGAGCAGCAGCAGCCACAGCAGCCGCAGCAGCAGCAGCAGCAGCCGCAGCAGCCGCAGCAGCCGTCTCCTCCTCCTGTCTCGGGTCTTCGGACCCTTGGTCTCCCGTCTCCCTCTCCTTCCTCCTCCCCCTCTCCTCCCGTCTCTGGTCCTCCGCTTCCTCCTCCTGACCCCTCTCCCGCTGTTTTCCCTCGTTCTCAGTCTTCGTTGTCTCCTCCTCCTTCTCAGACTTGGGCCTCTCGTCGCTCCCCTCGTGCTCGTCCCTCGTCTCCTGTTCCCTTCACTGACCTTCGTACTGCCTTACTTCGTTCTAGTCCACCTCGTCCGTCTCCGTCTGTGCTTCCGTCTCCTCCTGAGTCGGCTCTC